ATTGTTCCTTTCAGTGGATCCAGCACAGGTCTCTTAATCTGATTGCGCAAAAATTCCTCAAGTTTACATTTTAAATAAACCGAATACGATTTTATTATTGGACGAGCTTAGAATAATAAGGATGTAAATTTCGATTCCTTTTAAAGTGTTACTATAATGTATACTTCGAGTGGATTTTGAAATTCCTCTATTTAAGTTATTATTTTCAATTCTACTCAGTTTTTAGCGGTGCCGGATGAACAAATCAACAGGTGTTGATTATTTAGCACCATACGAAATAGGCGAATTAGTTGACGGCTTGGAAGGAATTGGAGTTATCGAAATGGTATCATCAAAGTATGTTTTTGCTCTGTTTTCCAGTGAGATGATAGATCAGAGATTTCAAACTGTATTCGGCTTTAGAACTGCTTGTTATTTTATTTATTATGTATACTATCTCATCTGATCGTATAAAATCTTATTTATTCCACTTGAAAGTAAACAGCTGATCGGCAAATTTTAAATTGAATCATGAAGGAGTAAATGTAAGATTCTAAATACACGATAGAATTCGTTTGTTATATCAAAATATGGAACCATATTTTTTTATTATGATAATTTTAGTAGTGCTTTCAAAGTTGGAGATTTGGTAACAAGTATTGGACGGTTATGGCCATGGAGTAGGCTTTTTGTTGCGGATGAAGTTGATCTCGTAAGGGTAAGTGATTGATCTATATTCAAATTCTTGGAATTTATTTAAAATTCTGAAATTGGAAGTTTTCTATCTTTATCTAATTCATTTGTTTATTCAAACTGTTTGTACATATGGTCACATTTATATTTAACAGTTGAAGTGTCTTTCATCTTCCTTGTTGAAATACTTTCTCGGTATCTGGGAAAGCAAGAGGGAATATGATAGCACAAAAAAAAAAAAAAAAAAACATCTATAATATTTGTTCTGGCTGTGCAGTAGATTTTTCGTCAAAAATATTTTAATCTAACAGCTACAAGAGATCTAAGCAACTACTATGGGGTCGAAATCGATAAAAGAATACGCTAGTATAGTAATAGTTTACTCTTCTTACTGAACTAAATTTGTTGTGATTCGGAATATTTAGAAAATTTGCAGGTTACTTTACCACCTGGTTTTTCCCCATCAATTATACTGAGCTGCGTGGGTCTGTCTGGCTTAACAGCTTTGCTTGGTATTCAAAAAAAAGCTGAAATTGATCGAACACGACCGCAAACATTTGTCGTTTCCGGTGCAGCCGGTTCATGTGGTTCATTAGCTGGACAGGTTTATCCATTTTATTTATTTTTTTTTTCTTTTTCCTTGGTGAATATTCACTGTTGTCTTACTGAAAGCTTAGCCCAGAAGAGAGAGAGAGAGAGAGAGATTACAACAGTTGGTTAGTTGATGGCATGATAAGCGTCTTTCAGAGGTTGATATTCGTCTATTTCCGTATGGCCAAGAACTGTGCCATTGGGACGGAATGCGTTGCAATGGATATTGTTTTGGTTCATTGATCAAATTATTTCATTGGGATTTTAATCCATATTGTATGATATAATTCATTATATTTTTTCGTTTCTTCTTTTTTTGTGGTGTTAAGTTAAGAAAGATTTAACATTTTATGAAATGCTATTATAGATTGCACGTTTACATGGTTGTACAAAAGTGATTGGTATTTGTGGTTCGGATCAAAAATGTGCTGTCTTATTGAATGAATGGGGTTTCAATGGTGCGATAAATTATAAACGAGAATCTGTTGTTGATCGTTTGCATAAGCTTGCCCCGGAAGGTGTTGACATATATTTTGATAATGTTGGTGGCTTTGTGAGCGATGCTGTAATATCACTGGTAAGTCATAAATATGTAAGACTATGTCTCGCTGTATTAAATTTGATTCTTATTTCTAGTATTTTGCATGTATCTAATGCTAAATCTTTATTGCGAGTAGAAATGCCATCTGATAATTTTAAAGACACTAAGTAAGTTTTAAAAAAATGAAAGGTTTATTCGAAATGCTAGCCGTTGACATGTTAGCTTTTTCTGGAATTCACTTGACAGCAGTATTCAGAGCAACGTTATTTTTATTACATTACTAAATTACCATGCAGTCCTGGTGATAGTGTGAAAAATAAATAGGCTCTACTTTATTTTATTTACGAGTTCAAACTACCTAAGATGTCTTTTATTATCAATCAATTCATTATTAGATGATGATATACTAATACTCGATGTGCTGATTGAGAAAACATGCAAATTGGAAATATCCAGTAATGTTTTTATAATTTTAAGAAAGAAAAAACTTTCATCTCCAATATAAGAAATCCATTTTTGAAGCACATATTATATAAATCGATACAGGAGTATATGCTAGAAGTGAATGAACCTTTAGTAATAGAGAAAATGATGTTTTGTGTTTGAGATACATCATAATAAATGCCCTGTCTTTTTCAACTATTCCTAGCATTACTTATTTCAGTTATTTTTAATTTTCTATTTTTAACACTAAAAAGCACTAATTCAACATCTGTATCTTTTGGAATGTATGATATTTGTTCCCATGTGCATTATTTAATATAGCATTTAATCCAAATTATTTGATGTCGTATTTTTTGATCCAATCTTTTTTTTTTCTATTTTGGTTGGAAGTGTCTCATCCGTTATATATTCGAAAATGTTGGATGTTCATTTTACTTTTTTCTAATTACAATGGCATATTAATCGCTAATGAAGAACTTATTAATAAAGCAAACGGTATTTGTTAAATCAAAGGAATTCGTATTCAGGCAAATATCCATTTTTTTTTTAAGATGAGCGAAGGTGGTCGTATTGTTTTATGTGGACAAATAGCTGTGTATAACACCGACTTACCAAATCCGCCACCTCTTCCGGAGAAAACGGCTCAAATTATTGCGGAAAGAAAGATTAAGAGGTATAATAGTTATTATGAAGGATTTAAAAATTTTTAGATATATGTTTTTTTTTTTTTTTTTTTATTTATTTATTGAATTAATTCTCGTAATTTAAATGAATTTTTGCAGAGAGAAATTCATCGTATTGCAATATAAGGATGATATCGACACATCTGTGGCACAACTTTCAGCATGGTTACAGGAGAAAAAATTAAAGGTATGTCATTGTTCACTGTATGGTTAAAAAAAGGGAAAAGTAATTTTTTTGGTAAATTATTTTCTGCTTTTTGTTTTGGGAAGGTTTACAGTTTTCGATATATTACTAGTTTTTATGTCTGATAATAGCAATTATTCATTGGTCTATTCATAGTTCTGCACTTTTCGTTATTATCTTTCTTACGGGTTTTTATTTGCTATCACATTTATTTGGATTCTCGGATCATATTGGTAGTATTGTTGTTATTTAGAGCTAAATCTATTCTAAATAGGTTCAAAATAGCTATCATCTTTTATTTTCATTAACGAAATAAATTTGTTACAGAGTAGAGAAACAGTATATGAAGGTTTGGAACGAGCACCAGAAGCAGTTATAGATCTTTTAAATGGTTGTAATATCGGTAAAATGATTGTCAAAGTGGACGATTCATAACTGTTAACAGTACAGTAGATTTTACTTCACTGTCTTTTTTTGTTTTGTTTTCTTTTTTGTTTTGTTATGTTCCCTTGTCATTTCTTTATTTTTCATTCATAGTTTGTAATGAAGTTATAGTTTTGCATAACCTCAATGCTACGAGTTATTTAGTACAAATATTGTTGTTATTATCTTTGTAAAGTAGCTCAGTGATAATTATATTATAATTAAACTGATTTTTTAGGTACTAAAATGTTTCCTGATCTTGTATTTGCAGATTCATTTCATTTCATTTTATTTAAAAATTTTCAAATACATCAGAAAATTTATTCGGCTATGTATTATTTTCCGTTCGAATTTCTGTTTCCAAGAGAATTAAGCATTACCAATATGGCAAGCTGCTATGCTAGATGGTATCAAGATATAGATTAACTCCATTGAATTGCATATCGATTTAAATTCATTTAGCGTATCTTAGTTTCAGGATTGTGTGTGCACTATTTTAAATTTGTGTTGTTCTGTTTACAAGCGAATTTCTTTAACTTTGAGTTAGTATATTCCCGGTTTGTTTAATCTTAAGCTTGTTTAAAGCTTAAGATTTCTAATCTCCTTATATCTGTAAATGGTTTTACTGATTTATCACCGTTTCATTCTTTGTTTTTATGTGCTCCAATATTAGTAGTCAGTTTAAAAATTCACTCAAAGGCAAGAAACTTCTGATAGAAGTATAAAGTTATTGTTAGCTTTACATTTGTATAATATGTTACATCTCTAATAACAATATATTTCCATTTCATTTTTCTTTTTTTATTGCTATATGAAGAAGTTCTGTTTTATCATTTATTCTTCTTTTAATTCTCTTAAATGTTATGAAATTGTTTATTTGTCTGTCTAATGTACTCTTAATAGGTATTAATTTAGTACCAAATTAGATAGGATATGAATAATCAAATAACAGTAAGCATAATTCCTGTTTTAAGTAGATAACAGTTTTGTGAAGTTTATTTTGCAAGTTTGGGATTAATCTTTCTTTGCACTGAAGTAATTTTGGGCGAAATTTTAAAAGTCATGTTTTGCCATACTGATTATGTCTTATCAGATATCAAATATTGCATTTCATTGTTAATCGCTGCGTAAATATTTATATAGTTAATTCATTTCTTGCTCGCTGTTAACTGTTTCTGTATTCTAATTATTTATATTATTTAGTATAAATTTATAGATAGATAATCAAAGTTCTACTTGCATTGACAAAGGATCATCATATCATTATACCTTAATATGCACAGTGCAGAATTTTTGAAATATTCCTCTCTACTGTTTTGACTTTATTTTACATATTATAGCCCGTAGCCAGGATTAGTAATTAGCAAATTATTTTTCCTTCCTGCACATGATATCTGCAAATATTTTGTAAATTAATTTCTATTCTTTTTAGGTGAAGTGTGTATTTTTCCAGTTCGTAATTATGGAAATTCTAGATCTACGACATACAATAATTACAAATGCTGAAGTATTCCGTTTGCTACAGGATAGACGAAAACAGCAAAATGAACTTCCAAAAGATCAACGACCAAAGACTATTGGAACAGTTATATATGAGGTATGTTTCATTTTACTTATCCAATAGGATTCTTTTGTTGAGTTATTTGTAATTATATCTATCCGTTATACTTCTTTGTACTTCATTATTAGTATATGAAGCTTTCTTCGTGCTACAAATAAGCTAAATTGATGTCCTGAACAACTATGTTAGAAAATTGTTATGATTGGATGGTCTGTCCTTATCACTGATTTCTATCGAAATATTTTGACCTATTTTTCTTTTTTCAGTAAATAATGAATTGTGAACATTTCAATAAATTAATTATAAAGATTAAAGTTGTCATTGCAGACATGCAAATATTTACAAGAAACACCAGCTGTTACGCAAAAAAATGCAGATATTGAACAATTTATTCGTGCAGTAACTCCATTCAAGGTGTGTCTTACTTATTTACATGAAAAGTAGTATTTCATTGTTTATCTCTAGTCCATTAAATCTCTAGTCCATTAATCGTGTCCATTAATTCAACTGTTACTTTTTTAGCCTCTCAGATATCCTATTCTAGTGTATACATCAAAAGTATACAAGTTGCAAGGAAATGTTTTAGATTCATTAGTATTCTCTTGCCAAAACTTTTTTGCATGCATCAATTCAGTACGAAAATTTATTGTTGAAAATTTATTCTGTTTTTGACTTTGATAATTTCTTTACAGCTGACGGGGGTAGAGATCTTACAGCTCATAAATTTGCGGCCTATAACAGCTATAGAGGTGAAAATTTTTTACAATTTTTTTTTTCAAAATTAAGTTTGTTTAAATAAGTTTTTTGGAATAAATGAAATAATTTGATAATTTCTAGTATGAACCTCAATCCAGAAAAATAGTTAGAGAAAACTAGCTTTGATTATTACTGGTTGTCTATTTTTATTCTTCCGGTGTTATTTTGATTGTAACATTGAATATCTCAGATCCAACTAATAGTGGAAGAATGTGAAGAACGATTAAACGAAGAACAAATCGATTCTTTAATAGCTGTAAGTTTCATACTTGCACTATTAGTTTTTAATTAGTTGAATGAGAAAAATAGTGGAACACACATATATGTAAAAAAATATTTTTTAGATAATTCAAGAAAATTTGCCGGAACCATTATCTGATGTTTCTAAAGTGAATGCTACTAATGAAAAGGAAAGTTGATAACAAAATTGTAAAATTTCAAATTAAATGAATGAGATTTAAATGGAAATCTGAAGAGAAGAAAAAAAAATATTTGTACATGTGTTCACATAACGGGTATGAGTGGGTGAATTGGAGATCATACTTTATTATGTCAAATAAAGGATCAAATTTTATTCAAAGAAGATTGCTGTCTTGTTGCCTTCTCTCTACAATTACAGATAATTTACTCAGTGATTTACCTCTCCGTTGTTATCATACTAAATAAAACTTACGATTTTGTAACTTATTTATATTTGCCACTTGATCATATGATATGAATGTTTTAACAATAATTTCTAGCTTTTATTTGTTATAACTTATGTAAATATATGCATGGATAAATTTCTGATCTTAACAAATACATTCTAATTGTCACTGTTAACTTTTAGCTCTTCACATAATTTCACAAGCATCTTTTGGTCGTGGCCTCCCAACACGATTTCGAGTCAAACAAATTTTTGATTGCTGCGACGATATAATTGCAGCTAAAACATCGTTGAATAAATCTTCAATTCCTTCCTGAAATGATTTAAATATTAGTTTAATTTCTGCAAAATTAGTCAGAATAGAAAGTGTCATTTCTTTTTTTCAGTTTGATTTTTTGAAAAAAAAAAAAATGAAAGAATTTCTGTTTTTATCTATTTGCTTAAACTTTGATTTCAAACAGTTTAAATTCCCAGTATGAAGAGAAATACAGTTTAAAAAAAAAGATTGGATTTTTTTATACGTAGGTTTTAGTGGACACTTCACAGTAATATGAGGCTTTCAGTTCCGTAGCTAAACTTTGGCCGATTTTTGTTGTAATTAAGCTTTGAAATGTTCGCGGATCTTTGTTATCCGTTCTAAAATGGGCAATATTTTTCTTTTTTTTTTTTTTTTTTTTTTTTTGATGTAACAAATCTGTTTGTAATTCCAATGAAAATAAGATGAAAAAAAAAAAAAAAAAAAAAAAGCAAATAATTACTTTTTAAATTGATTTCTTGGTTTATACGGTGATTTCGTCGTTGTGTCTGGAGCAAAATGGAAGATGAATTGGAAATTTCTGATTAAATTTGCTCAACAAAAATTTTTTAAGTGTTGGAAGGAACTTACCAACTTCAATATCACCAAGCTGTTTTCGAAATAGCAATTGACGGACATCACGTGGTAGCCGTGCTTCGATACCTGTTGCGCAAATAATGAACGGTGTATTACGATAGAGACATCTAACAGTAGGAACCCACTGAATGCATGAAAAAAGTTTGAAATCTGTTAAACGTGTAAATATAATTTTTGAGAGAAATGTAATTCTGATATGTTCCATTCTTTCTGAAGTTTATTCATCAATTTGACAATTAATGCTATCCTAAAATGCTATGATGCTATCAAATTATCAATTAATGCTATCCTAAAATGCTATGATGCTATCAAATTATCAATTAATGCTATCCTAAAATGCTATGATGCTATCAAATTATCAATTAATGCTATCCTAAAATGCTATGATGCTATCAAATTATTAATTAATGCTATCCTAAAATGCTATGATGCTATCAAATTATCAATTAATGCTATCCTAAAATGTTTTAAATTTGTTTGCAAAATTATAATGAATGTAAATTAATTACCATTTGATGGATGCTTTCAAATTGTCGCAAGCTACTGATATGATAAAAAATAATGATAGCATCCAGATGACTACATCGGATCATCAATGGAATTCGTTTAAAATCATCAATCCGTCCTGCACACATCAATTCAAGCTAGAATTACAACATAATGCATTTCAGAATTTAACCATCATATTCATTTATTATTTTATTTTTTAAAGTCTAAACTTATTTTTTTAAATTCTTAATTTGATTTAAAAAAAAAAAAAATTTTTTTTTGAATTTTAAGGTTTCAATGGATTATTTCAGGTGTTACACCTATTTTACCTGAAATCCCTGAACAGTGATAACATTTGAATCGAGTACATCAATTCGTTCAGATATATCGCCTTTCTAGAATTCTAATCTTTAATTATTATCAAAAAAAAAAAAAGCAAAACACTAAATTTTAAAATTTGAAAAAACAAAAACTCGTTGAAGATTAATGAATTATTTTTTATTATATTAATTAATCACAAACCAATGCTTTTTCAGCTTTAAACTGATTGTTCCGATTTGACATTAATTGAACATAAGCTCGACGAACATTATTTTTCTCTGAACCAGGTTCACCAACCAATGCAACACGAAAATATGTCAAACTGCTTGATTTACCTGCTTAAAGTTTTTCCTTTTTTTTCTAAATTTTTTAGAACTAAAATTTTTGAATAAATTTTGCATTTGATGCAAAGAAAATCTATAAAATAAATTCAACTAGGAGAAATTGAACTTAGCTCACAAATGAAGATTAAAAGTTGGTTAAATTTGTTGTTAACTTTAAATAATCTAAATCAAATATAAATTAATAATAATCGATGTGTTTAAATTTTGTATATATGAAACTATGAGCATTTAATAATTTGAAATATTACTTTTAAAATCTATTTCTGGTGAAAATTTCTCAAAAGATCGTTCTTCTTCTGATGCAACTTTAATTTTTGGCTTTGATAATGAACGATCAGATGATACGACGACATTCATTGTATCAAATATCTGATAGCGGTTATCACTATCACTATTATTATCACCACTACCACCACCACCACCACCACCACTAGCAGTAACCTAATAAAATGAAAATGAAATGAATGACAATGAAAGTTCAAAAATTCAAATTTCACTTTCATTTTTATTTTATTTTATGAAATAGTGAGAATGAATTGAAATGTCATTTAATTCATATTTGATTTGATCCATAATAAATATGATGAATAATATATATTGAATGTCAACAATTTATTATTTGTATACATGAAAATTTCTTGTCAAATGTGTCGGTAAAATGATAGAAATTGTTTGCAAAACATTTAGGTATTAATCTCATTTTAAAATAAACAATATTAAGTGAGAATTTATGATATATTAAGAATATGCATATGCTTAATAAAATATTTATGTGACTAAAGCATGCAAAGCATTGATGATATGAATTATTAAATAAAAAATGTATATATTGAAGAATATTTTTGTAGTAAGAGAGATCATCTTATGATATATAATCAATTTTTTTGTTGAGATGATCAGTCTTTCGTGTTTACATTTTTTCTTTTTCTTTTTTTACTATTCTATGAATGAACTTTGGAAAAATTCACTCAACAAATACATTTTGCTATTGTAAACAGAATTCACGTCTTCATATGATAAGAAGCATATTTAGCTTTCTTTATTATTAGCAAATGAAGAATATTTCCTCATCTATAATGCAATCAATATCTTACCTGAGCCAAACTTTTTTTTTTATTAATTGAGATCACAGCAGCATTTGAGTGAATGTTGTTGATAGTGAAGGATTGATAAAATAAAATGTCTATATTGCATCATTCGAATTTGTTTTTTTTTTTTTTTTTTTAAACGTTTATTTTTCAACAAAAATAATTTATGAGTTCGCTAACAGTAATTTATAATAAGCTGAGATTTGCAGTAATTATTTCACTTTTTCATGGTTAATTACAAAATATTAAATAAATTTACAAATGTAGAGGAAGAACTCAATGTATATAAAGCAAGAACATTGCATTCAATAAAAAAAAAAAAATGATAATAAGTATTAAACGAAAGGTCATGTAAAGGAGAGGATTAGCATGGATAGATGAACAGAACAGTGAAGCAATATCAAATAGAGCAAATACAGCATTGAAATGATCTCACATAAAAGTATGATTTTTATAACAATTTTAAAGCAAAAAACTTGAAAAAATTTTTTTCAAAGAAGATTTGAAAAGATAACATAACATCACATATCCAAAACCACAAAAATAAACCGTATATAAAAACCACTTCTCCATACTCTCGAACAAAATATTCAAGAAAAAGCAATTAATGTCATATTTAAACGAATGAGAAAAAAAAAAAGGTGTGACACTACTGCTTGGCATATTCTTGCCCTGATTTTATTTGCTGCAAAAGTTCAGCTACCCTATGTAAACTGATTGCTGGGCACCACTTTCCTCTCGGAACACTTCCCTGCAGCTGCACATGCAAAGTATCCAGTATCTATAAGAAGTTCATTTTTTTTTCTAAAAATTCAATTCCTCCATTATCTTTTGAAACTAAATTCTCAAAACATTTCTTAGCGCGAATTATCATCGATTTACATAATCAGTGCTTTCATAAAAAGTAATTTCTCTAGCTAATAAATGAAATAGCTAAATTCTTGATTTCACAATTTTTACCTTCGTAAGCTCCTTGAAAATATTTTAGCCAATAAAGAAAAAGAAATGATTAAATTCATATCAAGAAAAAAGTGTAAAATTCAATAGATTTATTAATCATTAGTAGTTAATCACAGATTTATTGTGAAAAACGGAAAATGTTTTTCCCCATACTGTACAAAATATTCTTCGGGAACATTTGTGTACAGATATAATTAAAAGTTCATCGACATTAAACGAGTCTCAGTATTCTATGAATAAATTTTATTGTTCTCAATATCTGAAACGAACATAATTTTTTTTCAAAATGAACGAATGAATGAAATTTTGAAAGAAGAAAAAGCAACTTACTCGGACTACATCTTCTTCATTCGTTTTGTTATTACACTGTCGCAAAGCGTCCGTAATCGTGTCCAGCGTTGTACTGGGTAAAAATGGTAACTCACATATCACTTTAGCTAGACATTCCAACGGAACTAACGAAATTTCGCAGCAACTCACTACAAAATTAGCAGTTAAAAAACTAGTTACAACAGTTTTAACAAAAATAAAAATTTGAAAATATTTTCATGACATATCAAATAGCATGTGGCATCATTGGTTACAGGATCTTATAAAAAATTTTCTGATACTTGTTGGATCACCTTTCGGTTGTGTTTGTAGATCCGCATATAAAGTACTACAAACCAGAGGCATCATGCACACTCTGTTCTACCTATCCTAACCAATATACCGAAATTCCGGTGCTTATTCCGTAAATGCTCTTTCTGACAGATCTAGGGCTTTCATATATTAAGAAAACAACAAATAAAACGAGTAATCACATATAGATATAATTCTCTCTCTTCCGTACTCCGAAAACAATGTAAAAGAACTTCAGATAGCACCTGCAAGACGCAGAAGTACTTCTCCAAGGTTTTTCGTATACTCTGAAGGTAATGTAACCAGTCCTCCAAAATCTATGTATATACAAAGAAATTGAAATGTTGATATTATCACTTTCTTCCAATCATCTGAATTTTCTTCAGAGTTATGATAATATTCGCATGTGTAAATTGCAGATTCTCGCAATGTTCTACACAGTAATGTTGCTCTGAAAATTATTCGCAAGCTATGCCTTGAAATAGAGGCATAAAAACTTTAAGTTAGTAACTAGATATTGAGTCAACTATGACTCTTAATTATAAATGAATCTAAGGTTACTCTAAGGTTTGAAACTTAACTCGAAAATGTAGTAAGAGTCTACGGAATTACTATGAAAAAAAATGTCAGCAAGAGTAAGCAATCAATGAAAAGCTTACCTGTCATCCGGTAAAATGTTGTCGTATTCACCGCATCGCGCAAAATGACAGTGAAGTCGTCCATGAACGAATGCTTCTTTAATAGATGTCTGCAAGCGAGTTACAGATTTATGTATTAATTGCCCTTATGAACCCTGCGTTGGGTACTTTACCTATCGATAAAATACCTTTACTTTGTCCTGAAATATACTGCATTAAAACGTGAACCGAGGCTTTTTTTCTCCAAAGAATATTACTTCCTACCAGGCAGCAACAAAAATCGTTTGAGGTAACCTATGACTAAATAACTTATTGTATTAACAGGATTTATACATCGAAAATTTCAACAATTGCAGAAACAGACATGAAAATCAGCTACCTGTTTATGGAAGACTTCTCGCAACCGTATAGAAGACATAGCAGATAACAATAACAAAAAATCCGGATCGCTTTCAAACCAATTACTACCAATAAGGGAAACTAATTCATCTGACAGCTCAAATAATACTGGTAAATACTGACCAGGAAATGCTTCCTTTGATGTACTGGGTGTAGCTTGTGCTGCAAAAATATAAAGATTAACGTGACGGTATCAATAAACAGTGGTAATAAAACTTTCCAAACTTGATCAAAGAAAGTCCGGGAAAAATTCCCACTGTAAAAACAATTTTCACTGTAAAGATCACTGAAAATATATACCAATTGCTGGAGTCTGTAACAAGCGCCTGATAACTATACGAAAATTAATTGACCAGTTCTTTTGTATCAATTTCTTGCCAATAAATACTCCAGCCTTTCCTTCAATAAGAGATAATAGTTCAGCGCTAACTCGCAATAAATCGAGCGAAGGTAACTGAAAATTAAATGCCAACAATTCATTCGAATATAAACCTAGAAAAAGTTAATCTCAAGAAAAAAGAATTGCAGAGAACAAAACCACTGTACCCATCATTTAAAGATAAATAAAATGTCATATTCCCAACAGCAGAGTTGTCACTGGACTAATGATAATATTAAAATGTGCACAACTGAAAGCACTTCTACCCATTTAAGATCTATGAGCAATTCTATTTTCTCAAACTGATAATAGCTCACCTCATTTTCCTTTTTCAGACATATGCTGGTGACATCCATAATTTCATCAATTTGACTCATGTCTAATTCCTTAACAAGGCTTAACAGTTCCTTGTATGCAAAAAGATGAATAGCCAATTGATCCCCACTCCAAGTTCTAAAAAAATTTCATCAAAATTTCATTGTGATTTATCCTGAAGCATCTTCTTTGTTTACTTATCACTATAGTTCAACAAATAGATAAAATTAATTTTAGCGAAATACAAATGTACAAATCTTCAGTATCGTTTCCTGGTGGTAATGATTGGCTAAGAAGTCATCGTTAAATCTCTTATAAGCACATATCTGATTATAAAACATACTTCTGACTAACAATTAAATTATACACCGAAGACATTTTGACCAGAATTATTAAGTAATTCAACCGGTAAAATCTGAAAGAAAGTATACATATAACAATAATCATAAACAAACTTCACACATACACATGAGTTACATGTATAAAATCTGACAATGAATAGAAGCAAAAAATTAAACGCACAAAGGGAAACACATGCAACATACGATACAAAGAGCATAGTTTGCATGCTTAAGACTGCCCAACCTTTCCCCGTCTTTTGCCCATTTCCTTCCCGGCCTCCCCACCCAGCCCCCTAAAACCACAATCCTCCACTTTTTACCCAAATAAACCAAACCAAAATCTTTGTAGCATTTGTGCACCTATTTCCAAATGGACGCGCTATGAAAATTTGATAGTCCCACAGGGGTTAGTTAAAAATGCGAAAAAAGGGACCGAGAAATTGACAAGTTTTATGATAAATAAATGTTGCGTTATAGAAAATAATCCAATGTCAGGAATTTTTCCTGATATTGAATTGTTGCTAAATTAAATTTGTAATCAAGAAATGACAAATAACTGGGACTTATACATTTTTAATGCAACTTAGTGAAAAAAATTTTTTTTCTTCTCTACAAAAACAAAAAAAAAAATTATTTAACTGAATGAAATCATTGCTGTCAAGTTGTGTTAGCATATTGTAACAGGCAATTTGTTAATTTGAACATTGATTTTGCTACATTTTGTATTATTGATTTTTTAATTGACAGAACTGATACGATATAAATTAAGCAGTTGTTAAGATAATGAAAAGTTTTGATCAGTTGTGATATACAATAAATTGTTATTATGGAAGAGTAATTAATTATAAAGCTATAGAATGAGTGAATGAGAAGTTTGATCACATATCAAATTAAACGAGTCAGTGGTAAATGTTCCATTTGGAATTATTTGGCATGATTACTAAACAATAAGTATTACAAGCTATTTTTGATCATAGCGACGAATGATTGTAAAAAATGCTTTTGTAGGTAATTAACATTTGCTAACGGATGAAGAAAATTTTCGGATCTTCCGGATCCCGAATTCTCCATTCCTTGAAAAATAATCTTTGTATTCATTTTATTTTTTGAAGTAGTTTTTATAATTTTTACATTAACATAGAATAATAAAATTTCTCTCATAACTTTGAAAATTATAGAATCAGTATTGAAAAGAATAATACAGTAATCGCTATCATTAATCAACATGAAAATGTGCAAAATTCATTCTCTTAACAGAAACAGAAATGAGTGATTTCAAGGGAGTAAAATGATGAAATATCTAGGAAAAGAAAATTATAGATGGATGAGATTCAGAAGTTTTGGAATTTTAGTAGAAATGAGTAATGTTAAAGAAAGTAAGTACGATGCCTGATACTGTAAATTTTAACTTTTCAAAGTAAATATATTACAAAATGCTTGAAATAATTTGAGATATCGATAGAGATATTCATGCTTGCTCTCTAAAGGAATAAGTTAAATTTCATTAAAATATATTAAGTCAGTGAAGGAATGATCAGAATATCAATTCTTGCTACGTATACGATACTCGTTACAGTGACATACTGTATTTCCATTGCGGATGTAGGAGAATTTCTGAAACAGCATAAACTGAAACGAAAACTGAAAGAGTAGATGGACCACAAATTGAAATCGAAGAAAGTACTAATTTTTGAACATTAGAAAACGGTTGAAGTTCAACGATGTAATACATTATGCTTATTTTTTTCTTTTTGACAAAAGTGCATTTATGAGTGAAGTTTGATTTGCAATTTAATTAAAACGCTTATCTTTTATAATCCACAAAAATAGCTTAATGAATTATTTTACGTATTAATTCGGGAAATAGCTTAATGAAATATTTTACGTATTAACTTAAAAAAATTTTACGTAAACTTCAACACAACGAAATAATAAATTCTTGATTCCATTTTCTAAACGTTAATAGCTTTAAGCTAGAATTTGATTAATTTAACCAGATTTAAGAAATTAACAAAATCTAAGCTGTACAGATTTCAGTTTGATTATTTCGGTTACAACCACCCGTACAAAAAACATAATAACAGACCTTTACTCTAACTTGTATACAATGTTTTACAGATTCAAAACAAATAAGGAGTGTTGTAGACACGGTTTTTTCTTTGGAGAGATAAAAGAATTTTACAATACTTTTTCATTTTCACTTCAAGGAACTGAACGATTATTGTTAAAAAAAATCGTTAAACATATGTTTGATAAGGTTAAGGGATTGATTTAAACAGTCCTTGTATCTCGTCTTTGTGGCTCTTCTGTTGCACTAGCAGCCGATGATAAGTTGTTCACTGCATAGGACAATCTTAGAAAAGCAATAATCTCTACATTCTTACCTGTTCATTTCCATATTTTGAGATAAACTACCTGAGTGAAACTTCGTTTTAAGTTTGAAATAAGTTGTTAATATTGAATGATGGTTGATTACATCATCAAAGCTTATGCCTAATGGTTTTTTTCTGCAATGTGACATAAAAATTGGTTATTTGGTGCTGTTTTATTAAAAATTTCGCTCCATGCATATATTCAAAGTTTCATTTTACATTTTTCTATTCGTGAAGCATTTAACCATAAAATTGAAAAGTGGAATTCGTATTGCTCTTGCCTTAATAGTTATATCTTAGATAATTTATCCAAAATAAGTACTTTCCTGCAACTCACATTTGTAATGCTATGATGCAAAAAAAAGGTAGTGAAATTAAGTGGTGTGACAATTGAATTTCACATGAAATCTAAGTGAAATTATCATGCATAAAGAATCTCTTTCCATAAAATGTCTTTTACCATTGAAGATATATTGAACGATAACATTCAATTAAGAATTAAACAAATGAATGACAGAAAAGGTATTTCAAATTTTAGATTTATTATTAATTGCAAAAATCATTGCAAAAGAATTTTTGGTTACAGCTGACTTAAAATTGACTTAATCTACACGCATTACCTAACATTTTAATGTTAGACATTAGATGATTGATAAATAAAACTAGGAAAAAATAACTAAACATATATTGCTTACTGATACAAGTTTATTTGGAAAGTTGAATGTCACAAGTTAACGGTAAAGATGATCATCTGATCAAAATCTACGACTACATATTTACAACCAGTATTTAAGATCAAGCAGATAAGCTGATAGATAAAAGCAAAAAATAGAAAACAATATATGTTTAGAATTCAAAAAAGACAAAAGTATAGATTAGCAACGATGTGAAATCTATTGATTGCTGTTCTAACATTCATACTTTATTTTAAAAGGAATATAATGAAAAAAAAAAAAATATATATATATACTAATTCATTGCACTACTCGAAGAAACACAGAGAATAGTTATTCTGAGTATAATTTTTACTGCTGTAAACGATATAAATGACAGGAAAACCATTCATATTGAATTTCAGTTTTACTTACCCTTACGAACGAAGATTTGAAAAGAGTCTACCAGATTTATCACAAATGTGTACATGGTTCAGAAGACAAATGAGAAATGGACAAATCCTATCTCAAAATACACAGCACTGGGAAGTCTCATTGACTGTGCTGACAGAACGTTGTTCTTAATACGTTCTCCTTTCTCCACGAGATAAATCTTACGTACATACGTTCATAAAGATGTCTCCCGTCTCTCTTATTAACGTATGTCAGAATCTCTGTAACCTTTCTTTTGAGATTGCAGTAGTTACTGGCGAGTTCACTGCATACTATCTTAGGCGATAATTTCCCACCCGGCGTCGCTCTGATCCAAGTGACATGTCCTCAATATTGATGACCTTACCTGCCCGAGAATAGTGACATTAGTCACGTAGTCACTGCAGAGAATATTTGGAATGTTGCGGAGACGACGCTAATTAAACCATTCAAGGAATTTCAGACCCATATAAAAGAGTAGGCAACATAATGGCTCTCCCACCCACCACTTTTTCGTATTTTGCTTCGTGTAATTTTCCGTACTCTTTTAATGAGTTTTTTGAATACTCTGTACGTCTTTGCTTATCTGTTATCCATCTCTTTATCATTCGATTGTCCACCTCTTTATCAATCTATCCTCTATCTCTCTGTCACTCTGTTATCTGTCCTGTCGGAATTGATGTTTCGAAATAATCGAACCGTTAGATTCCATTTTGATTCGACTGTGTTCATGTGAAGATCAGAGCTTATGTCGTTTTCAAGTTAACTTTCAGTCGGAAAATCCGGCAGTCTCTGCAACTTGCAAAGAGTATACCTAGACAAAGCGATTTAAGGTTTATGTGTAGGCTTTTAATCGCACGAGGCTATCGCTTATTCTCAGTCCCTTTATCGAGATCTGTCATAGACTTTTACAAAATATCATGTTTGAGGTACTCCTATTAACGGTGAAACCAAATTGACTTTCAGGTAATTCTATAGTAACGGTATTATTTTGTTTGGAAATACTCTTCCGATAATTTCCCAGCAATGGAGAACAAAGTTATTCTTCGATAGAGCACTTTGACTTTTGTTCTTTCTCCCTTATGCAAAGCTGATGACTGCATCTTGCTCTTTGGTCCGACAGTTTCTCCGTAGCAGGAAGAGACGAACTGCTGAACCTTTCATTCTACTGCTGGCATTAAAGAGAGACTAATAGTGTTCGACATCGATTGGTTCAGAACGAACGTTATCTGTGAGAGGCATTTAATCCATCTGCACCGGGTAGGGAACTTTGAGCGTAGTGCAGCGCAGTGCATAAATTGCTGTCAGAGCTCCGTAGAATTTCTTATAGTAATTGGAGTGTTCGTGTAATTGAATCTATCCTGCTGGATTGCTCATCACTTGTTCTAGATGTCTCGAGTAATGGAATTTACTGTATGCAACATTGCTTTCCTACATGGGCAGCAAGATGTCTCAGTGAGATATCCAATGACAGTGCATAAATTGCTGTCAGAGCTCCGTTTATCGCTACCTTTTATACGGTTGGTAGTTGCAGCTAATGGACATTTTCTGATGCGTTTTTTTCTAGTTTTTGCTAATTCCTTGTCATTAAAATAAATTGAAAGTGGCACAATAGTAACTCCAGCAGTCTTGATCTGATCGATTAATTTATCTTTTTTTTATGCAGAAGCAAGTCCCCTTACCGGCTTATATTTTCTTTTCTTTTTTGTTTATAGCTTTGTTTTCTGCATTGTAAAATGAATCCAAAGTTTCCCGCTCGTCTGCGCTTGCTTCAAAGGAAACAAGTTATCCCATAGCAAAAGTTGGAACTAAACTTGTTGTTGGCTATTTACTTGATGAAATACGCAACAATTGTGTACCAACCACACCTGCTGCATTTAAACCAGTGGTCGATTATGTTGTCATTAGGATTCTTCGTTTTGAGTTCGAAAAATTTAATGAAACGGATTGTGAACTGTCAGCTTCCATGAAATCAGTGAGAGAAGTAAAGAAAGAAAGGCATACATTTGTTTTTAAAAGTGTATTCATGTCAAAATCTGCATGTTGAATTACGTTGGTGTTTGGACAACCTGTACGTCGTTCTGCTCTAATTGTTCGCGAACTGTCATGACTATTGCACTTATGAACTAATTTATACACTCTGTTGGTTGGGCGATCTGAAAACCGAAAGGTAGCACTCAGTAATTTATTTCATGACATCGGTTCCAAATTTAAAATTTGCTGACAGGATTCCAATTCCGATCATCTCCTTATGCCACCTACGCTTAAGAAGCAACAAACTTTACTCTTCAGAATATATGCACCAATCTGCTACGTCGCCTCACCCAAATGTTCTTACAGATGACAAAAACATAATTATTGATGACTCGGAATAGGGAAGGATTGAAAGGCTGGAAAGTACTAAATAGGGATGCTGGTTCTGTGCAAGGTAACTTTCCAGCAGAAGGACAGCTTGAAGACAACCTGAGTACATCCTCATTGTCATCTCATGTTCGAGTCATACAAATAAGAGAACCAGCCATTCATTGGATATCTCACTGAGACATCTTGCTGCCCATGTAGGAAAGCAATGTTGCATACAGTAAATTCCATTACTCGAGACATCTAGAACAAGTGATGAGCAATCCAGCAGGATAGATTCAATTACACGAACACTCCAATTACTATAAGAAATTCTACGGAGCTCTGACAGCAATTTATGCACTGTGCTGCACTACGCTCAAAGTTCCCTACCCGGTGCAGATGGATTAAATGCCTCTCACAGATAACGTTCGTTCTGAACCGATCGATGTCGAACACTATTAGTCTCTCTTTAATGCCAGCAGTAGAATGAAAGGTTCAGCAGTTCGTCTCTTCCTGCTACGGAGAAACTGTCGGACCAAAGAGCAAGATGCAGTCATCAGCTTTGCATAAGGGAGAAAGAACAAAAGTCAAAGTGCTCTATCGAAGAATAACTTTGTTCTCCATTGCTGGGAAATTATCGGAAGAGTATTTCCAAACAAAATAATACCGTTACTATAGAATTACCTGAAAGTCAATTTGGTTTCACCGTTAATAGGAGTACCTCAAACATGATATTTTGTAAAAGTCTATGACAGATCTCGATAAAGGGACTGAGAATAAGCGATAGCCTCGTGCGATTAAAAGCCTACACATAAACCTTAAATCGCTTTGTCTAGGTATACTCTTTGCAAGTTGCAGAGACTGCCGGATTTTCCGACTGAAAGTTAACTTGAAAACGACATAAGCTCTGATCTTCACATGAACACAGTCGAATCAAAATGGAATCTAACGGTTCGATTATTTCGAAACATCAATTCCGACAGGACAGATAACAGAGTGACAGAGAGATAGAGGATAGATTGATAAAGAGGTGGACAATCGAATGATAAAGAGATGGATAACAGATAAGCAAAGACGTACAGAGTATTCAAAAAACTCATTAAAAGAGTACGGAAAATTACACGAAGCAAAATACGAAAAAGTGGTGGGTGGGAGAGCCATTATGTTGCCTACTCTTTTATATGGGTCTGAAATTCCTTGAATGGTTTAATTAGCGTCGTCTCCGCAACATTCCAAATATTCTCTGCAGTGACTACGTGACTAATGTCACTATTCTCGGGCAGGTAAGGTCATCAATATTGAGGACATGTCACTTGGATCAGAGCGACGCCGGGTGGGAAATTATCGCCTAAGATAGTATGCAGTGAACTCGCCAGTAACTACTGCAATCTCAAAAGAAAGGTTACAGAGATTCTGACATACGTTAATAAGAGAGACGGGAGACATCTTTATGAACGTATGTACGTAAGATTTATCTCGTGGAGAAAGGAGAACGTATTAAGAACAACGTTCTGTCAGCACAGTCAATGAGACTTCCCATTGCTGTGTATTTTGGGATAGGATTTGCCTATTCCGCACTTATTAGAGCGAAGTGAAACTACAACTTTAGAATATTTAATTCAATGACAAGCTGTGGTGCTGTTAATCTTAATATTGCCGAAGTGTTCCAATTCTGGAATAATGTTAAAGGTCGATTTTATTTGAGGTACGAATTATTTTCGATATGGAACTAACTAACTGGTAAAACAAAGTTATTCTTAAAGATTTTCTTCCAACCATAAAATGAAATGTTGAGTAATTTCAGCTTGCTCAGCCAACAGAATGTATAAATTAGTTCATTAAGTGGGAACAGTGTCAATGTTAAGTCGTGACAGTTTGCAGACAATTAGAGCAGAACGACGTGCAGGACGTCTAAAGTGCAACGTAGTTCTAATCTTTCAAAGTGATCACACTTTTGAAGGGAAATTTATGCTTTTTTAATCTTTGACCGAACGTTCAGAAAATGTCCATTGGATATTAACCGGATGAAAGGTGGAGACAGCCTTTGGTTAGACAACTTTTATGCCAGTGATGTCCTTGAATAAGACTATTTGGTTATTCAGGATTTTGCTGTATCTTTTTATATCTCTCTAGAATGCCTCCTTCTTATAAAGATGGCCCTATAGGTGAAAGAACCGTCTATGCCCGAGTTTGGAATTAGAGTCGTTAATAAGCCAATTCTAACTGTAAGCACACTTTCTGTGACTGTTCGATTGAGACATCTCTGGCATGGAAGATCTTATGCCTCTGCCAGCATAGCTCGCAACCGATATGGGCATGCAAGCCCCTCCTCCATGACAACAGCGCTTGCGTGGATTGCCGCAATAGGGATGAACCAAAGTATTTTTGGAGTGTTTTACGACATTTCGTTATTAGTTTCGGCTAGCTAATAGATAGTTAAGTTTTATTCCAATTCTCTGATCTTCGGACTTATATTAGGAATTTTTGGAATGGTTCATCCCTATATCTATGCAATCAGAAGATCTCTCAGAATAGTCTTTGTTAAGAAGAAATACTTAATGGCAAAATTTATTATCGTGATCAAATAGAACTGATAATCAGTGAATTAATCTTATTGAATTAGAAAATGGTGTGATTTGTTCGTGTTACAAAACCAACAGTTATGACTGGTTGGACCTGTTTCTGTCCATAGAATATGCATTTAAAATATTGAATTACAACACGCTGAAATTCTTTTTGACGAGACAAAAATAATGTCACCAAATTGAAGGTATTCAGTAGACGTGTGTAAAACCGTCACAATGATAAGTGACTGTTGATAATTCTAAATACTTCAACTTGTCCACATGATATTTACGCACTATTTTGAGTGATCGAAGTGATAGCTTGAAATGTTTTTTGCAAGATTTTTTGATGAAACTATTCATCAAACTATGCTCACTGTTGTATTTTCATTATATTTTAATGAGATAAATCAGTTGACCTGAGTGCTTTGTAAGTTATCACAAACCGATCACTGTGATTATCGTACCGACAATCAAATACGCATGCGTAAATAAATATGCGCATAACATCTGCATTTTTATTTTGATTATAATTACTGGAATTTGTGGAATTTAATTCATTTGAAAAACATTGTTATTAGGGTATTTAGGATTTTTAGTGTGAACATAATGAAAAACTTAAAGGATTGCATTAAATTGAATAGGTATTAATTATTTAATTTTGTCCCTTTAGATACATTTTATCTGATTAAGAATAAATGAAAATATTATTCTGTATAAATAAATTTCTGATAATTTCGTATAATTCCTAGTGAAGATAAAGATAAGCCGCGATTTTTTTTTGTTTATAACAATTAACTTAAATTATAGTAGAAATAGATGATTTTTGGAAAGAATAAAATGATTTTTTTTTAAACAGATGACATAAGTTTTGCTGCAATTAGAAAGACTGATACCATTGATAAGCATGTATAAAATCTTAAATTATTAATCATCACTTCATTTTATTATAATTATAAGTGTAAATAAAAAGTAAATTAGGTGATGTACTTCCTCAATAATAATTTATAACATTTTGTTTTACTGCTTAGGATCGTAATCTTTGATGTTTTTTAGTATTTCTTACATAACTTTGTGAAAATGACATTCGAACTGATTTGCTTATACAACTAACAAAATGATATGGATAGTACTTGGTGGTAACAAATAAGATGTAATACTGGATATGTTTTGTTTCCAAATTGAATTTCTTTGTTCTTTTGAAATCCGGAAACTGATCCTTTTATCATGTATTATGTAGGAACTATGGTTTTTTGAATTTCTTAGCAATGATTGTTGCTCCAAGTTATTACAACTTTTATTTGAATCATTTTATGATTTAGTGCTCTTGAATATAAAACAAAAGTGAAAACTTTCATTTGGAATTTCTTCTGAAAATTTTCATTGCAGGAGTCGTTAGCAGTACGCTATGCTGTAGATGAAAATAAAAAAGAAAAATACTACAAATAAGGTATGCTTTTTATATTCAATTAGTGCAACAATAATTAGGATTTTTTTTTTGTCTTGATAACGACCAGAAAATACATTTTGAGCATCAAGAATTAATAGAAGGGAAAAAGATATAAATGACGACAAAAAAAATGATGTTAAGAAAATGGAAATACAATATGAAATATATTAAGAGGAAAACACAATATGAAACATACACAGTATCATGCAAAATATTTTCTTTTCCTATTGATCTCCCAAAACATTCTACAACAATTAATATCAATAAATAAAAAACGACTAAGGATGAACATTTTATCCGTGGATAACAAAAATTAAGTCTGTAGTATTACCAAAACTTTATCTTATCGACATCACGTGTTAAATCATTTTCTCTTCGAAAAGCTATTCATCATCTTCTCAATAACTACTTTTACTTTTAATACAGCAACAACAGTTGTTTACATTTTGATACCGAACGTAAATATCACAGCTAAATAATTAAAAATATGTCACAATTGCCGTTCTTCAATAAAAACAAATCGTATGCAAAATATTCCGCCGGCTGTTATTCTGCTCAAATTCTGTTAACACTTCATCAATTTCATTATCTAAATCTTCGCAAGCTTCTAACTGAAATGCCATAAGCAGTGCAAAATATATGTGAGCTGAATATAAATATTTAGAAAATATTTTCCTGTCAAGATGTAATTCCTCACATCAGTCAAGAAAAAAAAAAAAAGCTGATCTCATGATTATCAAAATTTAAGCCATCCAATCACTGACTTCAACCGAAGCTGATGTGCAAGACAAAGATTATTCATGACTAGCAAAGGCTTCTCTTAAATCTAAATCCAACAGTTTAAGTTTACTTGCATAAAAAACACTGTTGAATTTCTTTCGATACACAAAAAGCAATAGCAGTAACATACTGAAATATGAAGTGATGCTTAGCAACTTGCTACTAGTGATATTTAGAACTATTACGAGAAAACAATTCAATATACAAACCTTAGCACATAAATCGCAAACAAATAAAGCTCCTATTGTAGCCTCTTCATGGTTATCCTGTATATCAATGTTGATGACATGGACACTGTCCCCTTCATTTGTGTCGCGCGTCTGTAAATCTTCCACTATCTAAAGACAAAACATTTCTTTAGCTTACGTAAATAAGTATACAAATATTAATCCAACAAACTATCAAAAGTAATTAACAGAATAGCTTACAGTGCAATCTACATCAATGTTGACCTTTCGAAAGGAATTCATAAGACGCAGATGGCCCAACAATTCATCGCCTAGCTAAACTGTCGCAATAAACTATCTTAATCTTCGCTATCCGCTATGCCACTTCCTTCTCAATTTCCAGCTCAAATAAAACTCTAATTTTTGCTATCATTCATTGCAAGTTGGTTATCAGCAATGAAAACAATGAAAATAAATTTCACCTGATCATATACTCTTTCCTCCAAGCATATAATCACATCAAATTTCCCACTGAAATGTTGAAACTTCTGTGGCATATCCTTTATTCTACGATTACGATCTAACATATTCAACAAACCATTCTGCGTATATCTGAAAATATTCGCAAAGCATAGCAAAATCAAAAGGACAGAGCAAAATAAAGAGAACAGAACTGTACTTACAGTTGAGGGTCTTTTTGTTTCAAGTCATTGTATATGAAATCATATGTGGCCACACCAAAATCATAGCAATTTGGCCGATCCGGTGTAGGCCCTGGTAATTTGACTTGACTTCCTGAACCAAATGATTCTACACTGAAACCTCTCTTCCTGAAAATGAAAAATGTTGAGATATCAAAATTCCACATATAAGTCATTCTTTCCTTCAGTGTGTCATTGTGATGGTCTTTACAACACTCTTTTTTCTGCGGCATTCTTTATTATTACATTAATTTGCTGTTACTAATTTGTCATAAAATTTCTTTAATACTTTCATAACCACAGTTTTATAGTAATTTTATAGTGGTACAGCGAATTGAGCTTTCAATCTTCTTATGTTAGAAACAAATCCTATCAGTTTTCGCATAAAATAAAATAAATAACTAGAATTGTCAAGCCCGATAAAATATCTCTTATAAACCTCTAGAAGAAAACCAGCCCTGCTAACTGAAGTAATACCACTATGAGCCCATCAAGATATCAACTGTCTTTTAATAAGTTCTCGAAAGGACGAAATCAATTTTCTATTCTTACGATACATCCGAGCTGTCTCATAACTACATCAGTGATATTATCTTGAAATGAAAGAGCAACATGATGTTTAAACAGTTCTACTTCGAATTTAATAGTGATATAATCAAAACTTACTGCAGGAAACTGTGAGCTTCCATACTTCTATTCATATTGCTCGAGCAACTTACAGCAAAACGTAATTTTCCCATGCTTGTCACTACCCTAATATTTTCTTTGACGACGCGATTTTGCGATGTACCAATATAATGACGTGTATATGACCCTGCTGGTACTGAATTGTGAAATGCAATAGAACTGCTGGAACTAAAATCACTTTATTTTCTGTTTTTCTCCAGCAAATATTAAACATTCAAATGATAAAAGTATATTCTTAATAAAACATTATCACCAACTGCATAAAATAGAATCATTCGTCAACTGAATATAGTATAATAATCTAATCTCCCCTAGCCCTAATTTATTCGTAATCAATTCAAGGTTAATGCAATAGAATCCGATGGTATTTTATACAAAATCCAACACCATTATATCAAAGAAATAGTAGGAAAATCAATCACTTCATATTATAATTTGCTGTTCAAAAGATTCAGAAAGTACCTACTATTTTTCCATAGCGAAGTAAGAAATACTATGCCAAATCATACATATACAACATTATTCAAATTTGAAAACACCTACATCTGAAAGTCAAAATATGAAAAGTACTACAACAAATTCAAAATAACTTAGTACAGAAATAATAGAACAAGAAATGATAAAAATGTAGTAAGTAAATTATAGATTGAGAGTACTCAGATAATACAATAATTTTATTAAAAGAAAAAAAAAACACAATACAGTACAAAAACAAAAAACATGTTAATGAGTGAGGAAAGTTGAAAACAGTTCAATCCTTTAAAATGAATAAATTAAAGACTGAAAGCAAATTAGAAGCATAAATAGAACTACAGTTCTGGAAGAAGAGAGAATGTAAAAAACAAAATATTAACTAACTTCTATTGATATATACAATGATTATAAACAAAATAACAAAAATCAAATATTAAATATCAAAAATTTCAAGAAAAATGACTTGAAACAATACACCAAGAACTAAAATAAAATAAAACCCACAAGGTACGACAGCCACTGGGCCATTTGTAAATTATAAATGAATAAAAATTAAAATCTTCATCCATCAACGGTAACCATGCAATCGTTGTAAGAGAACAGTTTATCTGATGCAGCTCATAAAATTTTTTTTGCATTGCATAAAAACTTCTCATTTTAGTTTTATTATTGGGCGATGAATAGTAACATAAGGAGATTTGGTCAAAATTCTTACCTTCACAAAGGTTAATGTAAAATTTTCGAAGTTTTCGTTTTTAATTTAATTTAATTTAAAATTATGATTAATGCGAGAATTTTTTTCTTATATGAAAATTTCGTCGATCTAACACATTTAATCAATGCATTGTAAATCAATCGACATTAGGTTAATTGTTTAATTCTTGTAATTTAGTTAAAGTCTTCAAATCAAAAATTTAATTAAAACTTATCACAAAATATAAATTTAAAATGTTTCGAAATCTATTATATTCTAACATCATTCAATTTGTTATTTCATAGTTAAAAAATATTTCGAAATATATTTTCAAAACTTTTAAGCTAATCGACTAAAATTATCATTAGTTTATTCATATTTCGCTTAATTTTTAAAAAATTTTGGATAATTTGCATAACTAATAGCTAATTATTGGTCAATTTATGTAAATTTTTAAAGCTAACACAAAAGTAAATAAATATTAATTGCTTTATATATAATTGTTTATTTTACACCAATTTCTTCAAATTAACTGGTCGATTGATTAAGTGTATGATAAATTTTAAAAAGTGACTCATTCATTTGATAATTATTCATATATCTCATGCTAACTTGGCAACGACAAATATATTCTGGGGCACCAAAAATTCAAATGCCTAACATTATATATACCTATACGGTTTGCCCAGAAGGACGGGTATGTTGAAGATACACATATTTCCTTGCAATACAAATATTGTTTGCGTGATAAAAAATATAAAGTGATAAAAATGAATCTTTATTAATGTAAAAATGCAAAATAATTTGCAGTATATTTATATTATTGGTGCAAATATTTATATTCGCACAACGGTTAATGTTGAAATAACTCAAAAATTAGCATTATGGATTTTTGATTGTGCTAAATTAAACGTAAGTGTACATTGATTGTGCTAAATTAAACGTAAATGAGCTTTAATTGTGTTAAATTAAACGTAAGTGTGCTTTGGTTGTGCTAAATTAAACGTAAATGAGCTTTAATTGTGTTAAATTAAACGTAAGTGTGCTTTGGTTGTGCTAAATTAAACGTAAATGAGCTTTAATTGTGTTAAATTAAACGTAAGTGTGCTTTGGTTGTGCTAAATTAAACGTAAGTGTACATTGATTGTGCTAAATTAAACGTAAATGAGCTTTAATTGTGTTAAATTAAACGTAAGTGTACATTGATTGTGCTAAATTAAACGTAAATGAGCTTTAATTGTGTTAAATTAAACGTAAGTGTACATTGATTGTGCTAAATTAAACGTAAATGAGCTTTAATTGTGTTAAATTAAACGTAAGTGTGCTTTGGTTGTACTAAATTGACACGTAAGTGCTTTTACTTCCATTATCAGGCAAATAAAATTGATTATAATTTCAATTACGATTTATTAGCTTTTATTCATGTTGTTTGTTTTTTTTTTTCATTCTTTTTTTTTTTTTTTTTTTCTTTTTCTAAATTTATTATTTCAGATGTCAATATATGACCTACATTATGAGACTTATCCAGGTAGAATTGTTGATTTCTATTCATTAAGTGCTAAAAAATGCGTACTACTTATGTATAATAATGAAATGAAATTGTTAACACAATATCTATTGGTAATTAATAAGGAAACAAATGATACGGTTGAAATTTTATGTCGAAATTGGAAAATTGACGCATCTGAAGCACTTCGAGTTGGTATGATATTAAATTATTTATATATTAATCTGTAAGTATATTAACTTATTTTTATATCATGTATTAATTACAGATATTAACTAATTAATGAAAAATTATTAAATCAGAAGAAGAAGATAAATAAATAAAATAATTGCATAAGTTAAAAATCATAGAAAAAATAAAGTATAAAAGTAATTTTTTTATTAGAAGGTAATTTATTTTTCTTCATTTTTATTTATGACAAGGGTTTTTGTTTGTGTTTATTAAATATCAAATCTGGTTGAAATTATTAAAAACAATTAAAGTTATTTATATTTAACAATATTGAAAATATTAATAAGTATTAACAAATTGATAGTATAATTTAAAGTATGTAAAAGAAAGGAAATCATTTTTTTATTTTTGACAAGACATTTTTTTTACTAATTTTTTTTTAATAATCAAAAATCTTTTAAACATTTTTTATTGATAGAATTTTCAAATATTATTAAATTATTCAACACTAATAAATTATCTCGCATGTTTTGTTTTAATTCCATTTCCATTATTTGTTTTTGATTTATGAAATTCGTTATTCCTCTTTTTCTTTTTAAAAAAAAATTTTTTTTTTTTTGCGTTTGATATTTTGGGTCCAATTTAATTTCACTTTTTTTTTTTTTTTTGTAACGTATAATTAATAGTAACTATTAATTATTTATGCTAAAGTAATGGATCATTTAATTTGACCTGGATAAAGAAACCTTTTATTTCTTTTAATCATTTTTAGGATACGGTGGTTTACAGTTTGGGTATATTGTAGTAAGTGGTTATACAACACCAGAATTGGGCAATGTTTTGGATGTACGAATGTTACCCGCTGATCCAGGATCAATGACAATTCCGGCAGTCAATATGGATATTCCGGTTAAAAATTCTAAAGAATTATTTTTTGATTATTCTCGAATATAATTATTGATTACAAGTTAAAATATAAATTCTTTTAGCATTTATTCCTATAATTATTTGATTCCTAATTAATCTATAATCAAAGTACTCACATTTAAATAAAATTAAAACATTATTTAAATACAAAATATATTTGATATTCTTTAATTTATTGCAATTATCACAAAAATAAAAGGAAAACCGCAATAATAGTAACATATTTTACTTTTTTTACTTCTAATTTATCCTTGGAAGATTTCAAAAAATTACAATGATTAATTATTAAAACAGTAAAGTAATTTTATGATATTAATTAATATTAATTAATTAACCAGGTTGCAAGATTAGAATCACTGATAAAGCAATATCCATTACAAAATTTGATTGTTTGGCCTGGTTCAGTACCATTGATAAATGATAAAGGGCTTTATTTTTTGCTTACACGGTATTTATCATTCCAAAAATAATAATATTTTTTATATGGATAATTTTAACTGCATTCTTTTTTTTTTGTCGATAATAAATCTTTTATCTATTTTCGTTTATTTATTTAAAATTATTCATTAATTAGCTACAAAATAAACAAATATATGTATATATTTTTTGGTTTAAAATCTTATCAAACAAATATAATGCATATTTTTGATTTTTTTCTTTTTTAAAAATAAATCCTCGGCTTAAAATATTGCCAAAAAATTTTAAAATATTCAGCAATTTTTTCTTTTTTTTTAAAGAAGAACAGGTCAAATGCTAGTTTATGAAACAAGTCTTCTTGGTGCGATTAAATTTTTACCAGATGGAACATATAATCCAATATTAATTACAGTAGATGATTCAGCTGTTAAGTGAGTTTTTAATTTTTATACTTATATTTGTTTAAATTTTATATGAAAATATTTAGAAAATACATTTAGTGGTCGAAAATAATAAGACTTTTTATTATATATATATATGTGTTTTTTTGAATTTTTTTTTATTTTTTTAAATTTTTTATTTTATATATTTTTTAATTTTTTATTTCAGAAATGTTTCATCCATTTATTATTTTTTTTTTACTTTTTTTTTTTTTTTTTTAAATAATTTGTTTTAAGTATGTTTTATTTTTACAGGCATCTATCAGAACGAGAACTTTGCATTAATTATGTATCAATGTTAGCTCAACGTGATCGAACATGTTGGATGAATTCAATTGTGCCAGCTGATCCATCTCATTGGAGAAATATTTTACAACGATTTATTATTATGATTTTTGGGTGAAATTTTTTAATAAGCATTTTTCAGAATTAGAATTCAGCATTTATGTTAGAATTACCTGAAATCATACCTGCTGTATTATTAATAATATTACTTTTGCATTTACCAAAAATTCTTCTAATCTATTATTAGGAATCAAAAAAAAAAAAACTTTTTTTTTTTTTTACAAATTAAAAGCTTTCCAAATTCAATAAAAAAGATTTTTAATAAATAATATTAAATATTTTTAATCATATTTTTTTCATACTCATTGTCAGATTCATATTATTGTATTTTGGATCATTATTCGTATGGCTATCATATTTTGATGGAGGATTTTGTGCTTATTGGTTTATTCGTGCTTTCATTTGGTTGGATAGTGGTCATTTAGTGGCCCATATTGGATTAAATCCATCATTTTATATTTTCAAATTAGATATGGATTGCTATCGATTATCAACAAAGAGTTTTGATGTAAAATAATTTTCATTAAAATTACTTTAAAAATGCAAAGAGTAAGATAACTTTCATTAAAATTACTGTAAAAATGTAAAATAGAAAACAGTTTTTTATTAGAATTACTGTAGAAACGCAAGGAGTAAAATAACTTCATCACAATTATTGTAAAAATGTAAAATATAAAACAGGTTTTATCAGGTTTACTGTAGAAATGTAAAGAGTAAAATAACCTTCATCAGGGTTACTGTAAAAATGTTAAGAACAGCTTCAATTAAAATTACTGTAAATGATACCGTAAAAATTTTAATGTCATATAATAGAACCAATAATATTACAGGCAAATTATACTTGGCTAAAATTAGGTGGCCATGCAATGATTGATATAATGAATGATGGTAGTGCTACAATGTCTGAATTAACTCGAGAATGTAATATTATACGAATTACAGAATTTCCATCACCGTTTGTACCTCAAACACTTCGTCGACAAGCACTAAATAAGTATAAACTAATATATTTAAATTTTTCTTTTTGAATTAATATTTACTAAATATAAATGAAAAGTATGAGGGAAAAGAATTAAATTAAATGATAATAAAAAAAGAAAAACTTGGGAATGATTTTTGAAAAGAAATTTAATTGAATTTATTAGTCTTTTTAAATGATAGATAATAAAATTTAACTTGGAAAATGTATAAATATAAAATATAAAATTAAAAAATAAAAAAAAAAGCTGTTTGAAAAAGATTTGAGAATGATATTGGAAAGAAGTTTAATTGAATTTATCATTTTGTTTTCAAATAATAGACAATAAAATTTAAAATTAAATAAAAAACTAAGAAAACTATTATAGATGTATTAATTTATTTCCAAAATTATGTTCCTCTGAAGTACTTCGACTGGAATGTGGTATTACAGATTATCCGGAATTATAAATTTGTTAAACGGAGAGAAATATGAATGAAAAATTTTCTTTTTTTTTTTTTTTTGAACAAAAATTTACAATGAATTTTATTGCATTTGATAAATACATCTTGCATAGATATTTATAATTAGCTTTTCTTAAACAAATCAAAATTTTAAAAACTATTAAAATTTAAATGAGATGAATCATTTAAAATATTCCATTAAATAGAAAAGTTTTGCTAAGTTAAAAATTCAATAATTCAATAACAAATTTTGTTACATTAATTGCAATCGTTTATACATTTTATTATTCATTTAAAAAACAATCAAATCAATGCTTCTTTAAAAAATTATTATTTAAATTAAAAATAAATGTTTGCTTTAAACAAGAATTATCTATTCACTGCTACTTTTTTCTTCATCTTCCGGAAGATCATCCACGTATTCACCGGTATCAGCACTATCATCTACCTGTAAAATATCAATTCATTACATTCTGATATCATTATTAGACGTACGAATGATTACACGTATTTCTTAATATGAATTTATTTACTTAATATAAACTTATCTGACACATATTCCTTAATACAAATTTTTCTCACACGTATTTCTTAATATGAATTTATTTACTTAATATAAACTTATCTGACACATATTCCTTAATACAAATTTTTCTCACACGTATTTCTTAATATGAACTTATCCTACAAGTATTTCTTAAAATGAACTTATTTACACGCATTTTTCAAAATGAACTTATTTGCACGTATGTCTTAAAATGAACTTATTTATACGTATTTCTTGAAATGAACTTGTTTACACATATTTCTTAATACAAACTTACCGTACTGCATAAATACATATATTTAACAAGCTTTTTTGTCAACGGATTATTAAATAAAATTTTCAAAATTACTCACTTGTCTTATTTTTTATTTTTTAAATACTTGATTTAATTTGTTACAATTCCGGAATTTCTAATAAATAAATTTGCAAAAGTTAACATTTGACTTACTCGTTGTGAAATGCTTGCTTGTGTTTTATCAATTAGCATTGATGTTGCTAATGATACATCTTCGAATTCCGTTTCTGATTGTGTTTTATTTATTTTGAACTTTTCATCTCTACTTTTTTTTTGTTTTGCTAAAATAAATAAAATTGATTGCTAAAGTAAATATTATCAAAAATATCATTAAAAAGTAAATATTATCAAAAATATCATTAAAAAAAAAAAGTACAAACATCTCAAAATGGTGAATAATTTGCTATATTTTTATCAAAAATTTTAAATTATCAATGAAAACTTCTTGTTTTCCTCTTTAAATCAAATAAGCCATACAATCTGTATCAGTTTGTGTTGATTGCAAAGAAATCTTTTTAACATTTGCTTCTGATTGCATTGGTATTGTTGGTGATTGTTTTGATAATGCCTTCTTAACATTTTCTTTTATCAGTTTATCAGTAGTTTGTTGTGTTGTTGATAATGCAGGCATTATGCATTCTGGTGATGATTGTTTTGTTGCAATCTTAATTAGAAATAACAATGATAAGAGATATTGAAATGAAATATTAAAAATAATCACAATTATTATAACTGTTAATTATATCTTTAATACAATAAAAACAATGCAATATCGTAAACACACACACATTAGCCAAAAATATATTTATTTATTTAATAATAATAGAAAAAACAAATTAGCCTAAAATATATCTAATAATAATAGAAAAAAAAAAAAAAAAACAGTAATGAAATTAGCTGAAAATTTTACAACGATAAAAATATAAAACAAAAAAAAAAAAAATAAAATTCTAGAAATGATTTGAAACCTGAATAATTGATAAAAATATAAAACAAAAGATTAATGATTGTTAAATTATATCGAATTTGATAAAGAAAGAAATCAAGATGATAACTTTGTAATTGTTTAATGATTGTTAAATTATATCAAATTTGATAAAGAAAGAAATCAAGATGATAACTTTGTAATTGTTTAATGATTGTTAAATTATATCAAATTTGATAAAGAAAGAAATCAAGATGATAACTTTGTAATTGTTTAATGATTGTTAAATTATATCAAATTTGATAAAGAAAGAAATCAAGATGATAACTTTGTTATTGTTTAATGATTGTTAAATTTTATGTCCTAAAATTTAATTACCTTGCCATATTACTTTTAATTACACTTACCGTTTCATTTACATTCACAACTTTAGCATTTTGTAATGCCATTTGTTCCATCTTTTGCTTATTTTTAGTTTTGCATAACATAATTATCACATTTAATAATACAAAATGACAAAATAGTCCAAATAGTACTGAAAAGTACAACCTGTAATTAATCCTAAATTAATTTCAGGTTTGAGATTTCAATTTTCATTATGTTCAAAATTTATAGAATTACTTGGATTGTAACATTTTGTCTTCCTGTTTAGTTTTCTTTTCTTTACTGTTTTGTTATTGATTTTTTTTTATTGTAAGGTGTAAGTAATTAGAGGTTTATTTTCTTTTTTAAATTAGAGATTTTTCCTTATTTTTCAATCATTTTCAAATATATTAAACTTTTCCTCCCTTTCTCTCTTTCTCTTTCTTTCTCCCTTTCTCCCTCTCTCTCTCTCTCTCTCCCTCTTTGTACACGTCATTTTTATACACATCAATGTGTTACATTACGTTTACTTGAATAAGAAAAAAAAATGGAATATTCTTATATTCTGACTTTATTCTTATTTTTGTATTATTTTAAATAATTTATAACAAAATATTTAATTAGACATAATAAATTATTATAGAAAATTAAAATATAATAAAAATTCGAGATTAAAAATTAAAAATATGAAAATTAAAATATAATAAAAAAAATAATAAAAATTCTATTATAATTGTATCAATCGCTCTTTTTTTTTGTCTTTTTTCTATTAAAATTTTAAAAAAGTTTGCAGTTCTTTTCCTATCTTACGAATTCACTTTTCATATGCTCCACTATATTTTATAGTTTCTTTCATTTTTGTGTTGATAATTAATTTGATAAAGTTTAGTAATTTAATAGCATGAATACTTTTAGTGTAGAAAAAAAAAAAAAAAAAAACTAAGCTTTTACAGCATTGTTTTTTTTTTTTTTTTTTTTTTTTTTTTTTTTTACGGCAATTGCTTTCACATTAACAATTTGTTATTTTTTATTATTTATTGCAGAAAAAAGAAGGCTTAAAATGACATATTATGGGAAATTAATTGCTTCGAAAAAACGAAAAATTTATTAAAATTCTTATTGTTTGATAGTACAACTATTAATTGCCTAATTATTAAATGCTTATCACATACTAGTTTTTTAATATAACATGCGAATACTATTAATAATTAGAAAATATTTGAAGTGTAATGATGTATGCTATAATTATTTTTAATGGTTGAATAAATAAAACAGAAGTAAATATAAATATTTCTAAAATAATGTTTTATGAATTAATGCCAAAATGTTAGATAAATATTTTCAATTATACATGCAATGATAATTTATTTAATTAAATTAATTGTCACGCAAATTGTTTTTAGTAATTGAAAATTGTTAAATTTTATTGATGCAATGTATATGAAATAGTTATGCACATGTTTAGCAATATATACATTACTTTAAAAATCTCAGTAGTTAATATAATTAATTTATTGGAATTAGGTAAATGATACCTGGATATTCCTTTAAATGATCATAAAATAGTATGGAATCACTTATTAATGTATAATACTTTTACTTCCAGATGCTTTTCGATTTTTGTCTTTAAATTAATTTGAACAAACCTTAAGACGCTAGCTTAATATTAGATTTTTGGTAGTTTTAAAAATAGGCTTAAAATGTCTTACAAAAATGGTCACCGCTGAAGAATTCCATTAATATTTAGCTTAAAATATTCATTCAGTGAGCAATACAGTACTAAATGATATATCAAAAAAGATAACAATGAGTCATTTTTCAAAATGATATTATTTTTATAATTTTTAAGTTTAAAAAAAAAAAAGAAATTATGTTAATATAAATTCGAAATTATATTAATACGTACAGAAAGTTCCATAAGATCTTTTCATATGCATTTCTTGCGTCAATGAGAATATTTTAAGATGATGATAAAGCGGAACTTATCGGAAATGATATGAAAATTTCTTATGCATTGAGAAGTCTTCAAATTTTCAAATTTTATTTTAGGAAATCGACATAAAATGATTATAATTTTTTAAAGGTAAGTATTTCTTTCAGTTACTCTAATTTAAACATTTATTTTCTTCATGTTGTGGAATTTTAGTAAAGTTTTTTTTTTTTCCTTTCTTTTTTTTTACGAGTTGGTAATAAACTAAATTTAATCTTACAGATTGCTGCGAAGAGAATGTCTCTTTGCATGATACCAAGTGATGCAGATCATGAAGAAGCTGTTGAATGGATTACGGTCGGTTTAGAACAGTTGATAAACTTATCCAATGAAATATTCGAACGTTTATCAAATAGGATAAAAAATTTTAGTGATCATGCCGATCGAGTGCAGTTGGATTTACGACGACTTGCAAAAAAAATTGAGCAAATCAGAACGGTTAGTAATAACTTTTTATTAAAATAATATTGTTTTTTTTTTTTTAATTCATATACATTTATTAAAATATGTTTAAATTAAGTTTTTAATTATGATAAGTAAAGCATAGTAAAGCATAACATACTGTATAGGCATAGTATGATTATAATTTTTTTTCAGATGAATACTGCAATTGTAATTAGTGCACCTAGCAAATTTATAAAAATTGAAAATGAATGCCAGCGAAGTATTTTGGGCAGAGGATTACCAACAAGTGTAAATGCTTTGAGAAAGATTAACTTAAAGCATAGAAATGGTTTAAATAAGTCAAAAGATGTTGCAACAGTTTTGGATGAAAAGCAAACATTTTATCGGTTCACAGAACGAGGAATGACGCCGAACAAAAAGAGTAAGTAATCTTCGTATGTCTCAGAGAAGATTTATATAGTTTATGTCTATGAGGGACATATGAAAATTCTCTTACCTTTTCAGTTAACATAGAAATGAATGAGGAAAAGCTGTTTTATTGGTTAGCTGTTTGAAATTAACAAGAAAGTTTGGAGCTCTAATTTTTTAAATTATACACTTTTAAAAAGGAAAGAATCTGAATTAAATTTTGCTTTCAGCCAGACAAATTCCGGAAAATTTGCAGTCAGTTGCAGATTTGTTGCTGTTTAATACTACTCTGAATGTCTATACTGATGATCGATTCATGGATCCTTTTGATAATGTGAAAGTTGAAGTAAGCTTGGATTTCTTATTCTTTTGAAGGATGTAAACGATAGCTTTAGAAAGGTGAACAAATAGGTCATTTTCAGTAATTTGATTGATTATGTAATTTGAAATTTCACGAAATTTCACGAATTTGAAATTTCACGATTTCACGAATTTTTGATGAAAGAAATCTGATTGATTTTACATGCTTCTTTTAGTTGCGTACGGAATCGGAATCCAAGATACAACAACTTGCACCGATGACTGATGATTCAACTTTGGCTGTTAGCGTGAAACAGAAAGCGGATCCATTACAATATCAGCCAGAATTTGGTTCAGTTCAGAATTTCAGTCTTCCAGAATTATTATTCACTTCAACGAGTATACCTTTAACATCTATTGTGAATGTAGTTTTTAAATTTGCTAGCAAGGGTCATTATTTTTTTTTACCTGGGTATACTCTTTTGCGAATAGTGACCTGAAACTTTTTTCCATGTATGTTCAGAATTCTAGTGGAAAAATTTTTGAAAGTTCCTTCATTAGCAAGATTTATTACTAAAGACATATTTGTTGGTCTCCGAGATATTTATGAATATTTGTTTTCATTGTATTAAGTGTATATTTGCAGAATGATTTAATTTCAGGTCTTCCTGCTGATTCGCAGCCTCTTCAGGGATCATTAGGAAGGAATATATCGGTTACTGCTGAATCTCAAGATATACAAATAATACAGAAAGATATTATTGAAGAAAAAACGTCGATCAAACCGGAATTAGCCATAGCAGAAAATACTAGTAAATCGATCTCAGCAATAAATGACAATACCAAATTCGGTTTGCAGTCTTTTATTACAGAAACAAACAAAGCGCACGATTCATCATCTGAAGTAGCAAAGCAAAGTATTGCAAATTCGGTTGTTTCCATGAATGAAACATCAAATAATGGTTTGTCTCAGCTGATATAAAATCAAAATCAAACTAAATTCTTTCAGCTAGTATGAAGATTATCAAAAAAAAGAGCCAAACTTATCAAACCAACCTAAATTGTTTCATTTCAATTGTTATCATACTATTACTGTTGCAAGCAATACAATCTAAAAACTGAGTGATATTTTTCTAAATGGAAAAGAACGATTAAAGCATGACAAAAAATGGAGGACGAATTATGAAACATTTCGTTATATCGTTTATATTGCGGAATACATGCGGAATACGGAATACATTTGTTGCTTAGTTTTAGGATCTAAATTATAAATTTATTTTGATATGTAGTAATAACAGTGATAATTTTGCTAATCTACTGTACTGTTACTTTATATCTTTTTAATCGATGTTTTTTGGAATGGGAGCTTTATTTTTGCCTTCAACTTTCTGAATTCATTTTACAATGCAGCATAAAAGTTATGCAAAAAATTAGATCAGTCTCTATTCATCTCTACTTTTTGAGTCATATTTTTTTTTTATTTTTCTTTATCCTTCTTTTTTCATTACAAAAATTTATTATTGATTCTTTTTTTTTGATGATTTTTATGCTATGTTGCAAAGAATAATGAAAATGTTTTTCTTCTTTATTCTTCGTTAATATCAAATTCATTTTATCATAAAGTAAAGCGCAAGACAGCCACTTTTTTCCACTTCTTCTCGTTTTCTTTTTTATGAATAATTTATAGTTCTATAACAGTTTGAGAAATTTAAATATCATCATCTGACTTGCACAAAACTATCAGATTTCGCACAAAGTCCAGTTGTACTGAAGTAGGAAAGGAGAATTTTACGACAAATTTCAATTTTCCTTTACTTTTAAGAATTTTTATTTCAGAAAAGAAATCGTCGTCATTTCCATCACCACTACCACCACCACCGCCTCCTCCACCGCCACCACCACCACCACCACCAGTTCAGCTTGCAACTCAAATCGCAGTTAATAGTCAGTCGAAATCAGTAACTGCTCATAATGATGATAGAGCTAATTTAATGGATGCTATACGAAGAGCTGGAGGTGCCAAAGGTGCGAAGCTACGATCAATAAGGAAACGGGTAATTTCAACATTTTTCCCATCTTTGATCATGGAATATGCGGATGAGAACTTATTTGATATATAAATTGATGCTAGATCATTTTTAGGAAGAAGTTCATGCTGACGATGTATCGGTCTTGCCCAAACGAAATGTACTTACTTCACCAAGCGATGATTTGATGTCGTCGTTGGCGAAAGCTCTAGAGCAAAGGCGTAAAGGTACTAAAATTTCGGTCATATTGTAAACCAATTTTTTTTCTCCGTTGATTTTACGAATTTGGTGATGAAAGTAAAACAGTTTGTATAGCTGTTGATTGTTGTATAGTAAATTATTCAATTTTTGAAATCTTTTTAGGAATATTTGGAAAAAAATCGGGCCATCAAGAAGCAACAAAATCATTAGGATTAAGTGAAGGAGCATTTGCACATATGAGTGCTCGAATACCACCCCCACCACCCAAAGAAGATAGTGATGAATATGATAATGTTGATAAAGTCGATGATAATGAGTGGGAATGATTAATAGTTACTGTAATTATTTTCTAACAAAGTCGGATCATCGGTATTGCTATTATATGTAATTTACGATGCTCTTTTCATATAAATCCTTTAAAATTGTCTTTTTCTTTTTTCATTTAAAGATTTAAATCTTATAATATTAAAAGTCTTCTAATCCATCTTTTTTGTACTTACTTATTCGATGCTGTGTATTCACCAAATCAATAAAATACACAACTAATATTACGGGTCCCATTTTATATGCTCATTTATCGATATATCCAATGTAGAATGATACGATTGATGATATGTCAATGTTTGTAGGTTTGGATTTGATCTTGAATAATGCTAATTTTTAACTAAGCCTTGATTTGATTCTTGATTTCTTGTTTTTTGTGTCTTACAATATATATATATATATATATAATAAATACATATGCAAATTTTTTATGTAGTCTAACATTATTTGTTTTATATCTATTATTGATATTACTTAAAATTTATGGATGCATTGCGTATATGAAAAGTTTACTCATCTAATTTTCTTCAGTTGAAATTTTTTTTTTTTTGAAATTCATGGTTTGAAATTTTATCGAGCAAAAAAAAAAAATGATAATAATGAAGTATTATTAAATAGGCGATATTCTATGGTTAATCAGAAAAACGTATGGTCATTGTTGACGATATATTAGATGACAATTCTGATTCATTTCCACCATATGCTTCACCAAATCCTTCACCTGCTCGAGGAATATATGGTATGTTCAGTTTAGAAAAAAACTTTTTGAATTCCACTCATACAAATTTCTATATCTACCGACAGTAATTTGATCTCTTTGCTAAGTAATGCCATCTTAACATTATTAGAATATGAAATATTTTAAACTTTTTCTTTTTAAAAGGGCTTACTTCAATAATATGCATGCGAATTGTTAGAATATAAGTTTTTCCTTTTTTTTTTTTCCTTTTAATAAAATAAGTGCTGTGAAGATTTTAGGTTTGAAGTGACACATTTAATAATATGTATTTCAGGTTTTGCATTATTTATCGTTTCATGGTTTTCGTTTGCCTTATATCTAATTTGGGCTCTTCTCCCGACTCCATATTTGAAATTACTTCATTTAACATATTTACCTGCCAAATATTGGGCCATTGCTATACCACTACTGTTACCAATAGCAGTTGCTGCATTTATTATTCTCGTATTAGCGCATAATCTTATCCAGTTGCATGGTATTTTTGATGATATTGAAGTAAGTTTTGTTTACTTTCTTGAAAATGCAATAAATTATTTCATGAAAGTTTTGAACTTTGTTGTTAACTTACTCTTTAGTATTCTCTGCAGATTATAGAAGACGATTTTGGAGGAAGTGCGAGAATTGGTAGTGCTGATTTGCAGTCTTTTTTTGCAAATACAAGAAATTTTTACGATAGAAAAGGTAAATGTTTGGTCTAGAAAAAAAACTTTATGAAATTGTTTCATAGCATCAATATTTTCTCTATAATAAAATTGAACAGATAGAAAAAGTTCCTGCTTAGTTCTAATTTTAAATTATATTTTCTTTTATAATTTTTCAGTGTCTTATGTCTCTGACTTAAGTGAAGACAGCATAAGCAGTTCGTGAATTTTGAAAGTGTCATCATTATGTTGTGTGGGACATTTCGAATCTTAAAATCGTTTCCATCGTCATTACTCTCTGCACGACAACGAACACATTCACTTGGTCGACGTTTACGACGGAAAGCGAAAATTCCTGCAAATATTCCTGCAAATGCACTTTCAGTTTCGAAAATTAATGAATTGATCCGGAAACGATTGGAAACTTCCTTGTATGAGAATCAGGCATCAACTTCGGAAATGGATTTGGCTTCATTATCAGCTGACAGATATTTAGAGTGCGGCTTTTATTATTGTTTTGAAAAAGCTTCGCTTGAGCTATATATTTTCTGTTAATTTTATGCAAAATTTAAAATCTCGAGAAAATTCACAACAACTTTCTTTTTGATTATTGATTTCAGAATAAACGCCAGTAAATATACTTCGCTTATTGCATCTCGGCAAGCTATGAAAAAGACTGATAATTCTGAAAAGAAAGATTTAACTGCTGAGCATGGTTATGTACATGATGTGGTACGTGTTTTCTTCATAGAAATAGCAGTGTGGTATTTTAAAACTGAATTTTGAAATTATTTTCAACTTTGAATCACAAATCTTTGCAACGTTAATTATTTCACATAGGAATGTTTGCTATTAATCATGAGTATAATTTTGCACCCGACATGATGTGAATCGTTTCAGATGTTAAAACCATGAAATCATTTCGTTCATTACACCCGTTATTTCAGTTCCAGATTTTGAAAATTTTATTCCACACCTTCCAGTTTACTTAATTAATTTGACAAATTAAATTCATTCATAGAAAACATAGAATATGTATTATCTTTAGTATAACCTTGTAGAACTTCCTGTTAGCTGGTTCTTTTCTGTTGAAAGCTGATTCGACTGTTTCAAAAAATTTTGCGGAAAATCCATCAGCGTTTTCGAAGATTCCTGATTCTGATCGTGGGTTTTACATTTACGGAGATAGCTTTGTGGATGAATTTGTTGTTGGTTCAGCGACAGATATACCTGGTGGTGAATTGGAAAAGTTTGTAACATTTAATCTTAAATTGGATTTTCTAAGACTTTTTAACGAATGCTTAAATAATTATTTGATAATTGTTTACCGTTTTATTTTTGGTTGACAATGATTTGCTGATTTCCTTATGCCAAAATTTCGACAATTATCTCAGTTGTGGAATTTTTTGAATTCAAACTTTTTAATATGAAAAAATCTGTACCACTTATGAAACGCAATTTTGAAATAATTCTAAAATTTTAGCATTGATCATGAAGTTCTAGTTCGTTATGGTGCCGAAGATGCTGTTGAAGAAATTGATTTTCAACTTCCAGGACAAAGCAGCAATCCAAAGGTTTATTTTTGTTTCTATGATGTTTCTGTGGTCTTGCGATTCGTCTTTAAAAACATCCATCTTCAAGCAATGTAAAAAATGGAAACATTATGTTTTCTACTTTTATTATAGTTATTATTTGATAAGATTCAGGATAATATACTGGAAGACGAGAATGATGAATTTTTGGAAAATTACGGTACAGTTGATCCAACAATACCCTCATCAAATAAACCTTGTAGCGCTTGTGGTGCGAAGTTCCACTGTCGAGTAAGAAGTCATCATTCTAATTTTCTTACTAAAATTTAATATAAAACAATTAACTGATAAATTTTTTGCATAATAGTGGTTATTATTGTAAATCAATATTGGAAATTAAAAATTAAGCAATTTTTTTTTTGTTCCGAAAGATGATATAATATTCTCGAAATCTCATTCTTATTTCAGGATGCTTCTTTGCCAGGTTTTGTGCCTGCAGAAATCTTTTTAAAATTGGAAGACTACAATGATCAATTGTGTCGCAGATGTTACATGCTCAAAAGGCATAATTTTTTGGTTAGTAGATAAGCAAGTTTGTTCGGCACTTTCGACTAATATTTCTAAAAATAAAAAAAAAAAAAGGTTGAAAGTATTATATTATTACTATAGCATACAACATCTTTTGCATCACTTTTCCCAATTTCTATTGTTTGATTCAACAGTAGGGCATAAATTGTTGATTCTTATCTATTTTATTAGTTATATTTTAGTAATAAATAAAAAAAAAAGAAACTAATTTAAATTTCTAGCTTATTTCTGAAAGTAGTTCATGTCTGAAGATAGACAGTTCATTTTATTTCAGCTGAATGTTAATGTTTGTGAAGTGGATTATCATTCAATGATGAAACATTTAAAACTGAAGCAAGAAGCTTTAATAATACTTGTTGTTGATATGTGTGATTTGCCAGGTTCCATTTATTCTGAACTACCAAAAATAATTGGTTATCAGAAACCTATGATTGTTGTTGGTAAGTTATTTTCTTTTCTTTCACTATATCCTCCGTTCATATGATTATTGGTAATTACTCGAGAAGAAATTCATAAAGTTGAAAATTTGTTACACTGATTGATTGGTTAATGTGGTTAAAGTATTTTTTAGTTTATAGATGATCATTATAGGAAATAAGGTTGACTTATTACCACCTGATGCACACCGTGGTTTTTTGCGTCACTTTCGACAAGTTCTGCATGGTTTATTAAAGGAGACAGGATTTGTTGATAATTTCAACATTCTACACATGTCACTTATTAGCGCGAAAACAGGATACGGTGTGGAAGATCTCATTACTGTTCGTATTTTAATGAAGTTTTTCATTTTCAATTTTTACAACGGTTCTTGTTTGCATAAATCAAGTTTTTCACTCTTTCGACAAAAAAAGTTGTAACAAGATGTTTTACTTTATTGCTTCATGATTTGTTCATCTGTTTTTATCACTACCATTTTATCACACTATTTCAGAAGTGTTTAGATATATGAATTTAATTATTACATAAGGAGTTCTTTTTTAATTATGAAACGAAAATCATGGCCGAATATTTTATAGAATCATAAAAAACTATACTATTTCAGAATATATTCTTAAGATTTTCAACTCGAGACACTTTGCGGAATGATATGTATTTAGTTGGATGTACTAATGCAGGAAAATCGTATGTTTCTTCTGTCAGTTAATTAAATCTATAACATTTTGACTTATTTCACTAGTTAGGTTTCATCATTTTATTCACATAAGCTTTCTATAATTATAAATTAGTATAAGTAAGTTTTTCTTTAGAGGAATCATGACTATTCTTGATATATTAATTCTCGTTATGGTTACTAGACTTATTGTTCCATCATTTTTTCATTGAAACAGTAAAAAAAAAAAGACTTTTGGAAGAATTATTGTTTTGTATTTTTAGGACGCTTTTCAACGCATTATTGCAATCTGATTTATGCAAAGTACGTGCTGTAGATCTCGTAGAACGTGCAGCTACAACTCCCTGGCCCGGTACCACTATTTCACTATTAAAATTTCCGGTAATGAATCCTTCACCACATAAACTAGAAATCAGACGACGACGGTGAGTTTTTTTTTTCCTTTTTTTCCAGGACAAAGATTATTTTTTAAATGTTCTGCTTCAAAAATCTTTATGAGGGTGCTATTTGAATTAAGCATTTTGTAAACAACTTTTTGGATGCTTAAATTGTAAGCAGTGTATGGTATATTTAGAGATTTTCATTTGTATATTATTTATATCGAAATTGATTACAGATTGTTAATGAATCAAGCTTGGCAGAAGAAGGAGAATCGTGCGCGATATAATCTTTATAAGCAGTCAGGTGATATAAAATATGCAATGTTGCAGTCTGCCATTGGAAATTCATTCAAGGTTTTTTTTCGTACATAATTTAATACCAAAGTATTTTAAAAGCAAAGCAAAAAAAAAAAATGAATCTGGCCCAGTATGTTGTCAGCTATCGAAATTTCAATTTTTTCTTAAATATGATTTTAAAGGATCGTGAAGAAGAGTTACAACCACCAGCTTTTCATACCATACTTACCGATTCTGAACCAACGGACAAACCAAAACGACCGTTAGTTTACATCTTTTAATTCTTTAATCATTTAATTTTCTGTCACTTTTTTCAGGAAGCATAACGAATGATTTGGAAACAACAACTTAAGATTAGTTAAAGTTCATAGATCAGATGGCGTACTGAATTTGATTCCTCTCCTCTCCATTCCCTCACTCTCTTTCAAAAGGAGCTTTGCTTATATTGATTTTATTTTCAGCTTTGATCCGAATTCATTTGTTTTTGCAAAAGGAAAGTGGTGCTTTGATACTCCTGGAACCGTTAATTCAAATCAAGTTTGTTCTTTGGTTCCTTTTTAACTTTTAATCGCTTTTATATTGGCTAGTTAATTATGTAGTATAAATTGTTTGATAGCGTCTCTTCTCTAGGAGACGTACATCACACGCTATCATTATTTTGTGAAGTAATAGTTTCTTTTCTTTAGTTCGCGTATTTTCGCCTTCGAATTCTTTAAACTAATTATGGGTTATACAAAAATTTTACTGTCTAAGTGCTGCATTCCGAAATTTAAATTTGGAAGCGTTAGAGATTATTCTTTCAAAACTTGCTAGGTTATGCTTTGAAATTTTTTTTCGAGATGCTGTAGTCGCCTTTGTATCTTGTTATTCAGATTCTGAATTTGTTCACTTTGGACGAGCTAATTACTATCTTACCCCGAACATTGATTTTACCGCGAACATTTATTATGCATTCAGAGGAATCCCTTCTCATTGCTGGCGTTGCGCAGATTGATGTGATCAGTTTGCCAGTGAAATCTACTTCGGAAAAAGATTATCCAGAAAGACGACCTTCTATTCTGGTAAGTTCTTTTAGGAAATTCATCACTAATATATCTAGAGTTTGGAAAGTTTTCTTATATTTGAAAAGATCTTTAAGCAAATATGTAGAGATTCGAGACATAATTTTTAGTTTTTATCTGGTAGGATGAATTTTAGATGTTTATGGTTCAGTCATAATATAACAATTAATTTGTATGTGTTTAAAGTTTAAATATTTCAGATGACAGTGTTTGCCAGTGAGCAGTTGCCAGTTTTCATACGAAAAACATCAGAAAGCAGTGCTTTTCGTGAAAAATATTTGGGTAGCTCACTTCTTGTTGTTCCTGCTGGTAATGCCGAAAGAATAGCGCGATTTCCGGATGTAAGTTTTGATTTATGAATAAATTTTTTTTCTTCAGAGCACATAAAGATATACTGCGTTAGCAAAAGTTATTGTTATTTGGAAATCCTGAACGGAGCAAATGGTTTAAATTTTTCGAATTTAAGAAGTAATAGATATTTTTTTTTTTTTTTTTCAGCTTAAGAGCAGTGAAATGGTTTTGGAAAGTTCTGGATCGTGGAAAGGTTGCGGTGATGTGGTACTTTCTTCTTTGGGCTGGGTATGCGTAACATCTCGACGTGGAGAAGTTCGTTTACAAGCCTATACACCAGAAGGACGTGGTTTGTTTTTACGAACACCAGCTCTTCTCCCATACTGTGCACAGCTTCGTGGTTCACGTATAGGTGGTACGGCTGCATATAAAGTAAAACGACCTGTACTGCCTGATCCAGATGCGTCACGGAAACAAAGAAAACGAAAAACTTCTAGTAAAAGACGTGCTAAGTCCTGAGTTTATTTTAATTTAATTTAAAATATGACACAGATAAATAACTCTATAATGCTTAAACTTTAATAGCTCGAATTTTGATCAAATGTAATAGCTTTTCTAGCTTTCTGAAATTTTTTTTTTTTTTTTTAGTTGTATAATTTTTTGTTTTTCCTGTAATTGAAATAAGCTAAGTTTTTATGTAATAAAAGTAAGTGTGATACGTTTTGTTATATTCCATACGTTTTTTATATTCTATCCTTTCTGCTTGTGCTTTATTAATCCTTATTGCATTAATTGTGTTAGAAGAAAGTGGTTATCGTTTCTCAATTTTTTTTTTTTTTGTAATGTCGAATATTTGTTGAGTGAATTGTCAATAATGTTTATGGACTAAAAATAAAAATAGTAGCCAATTTTAGGTAACATAGGTATATGCTGTTAGTTTGTATATTCCTAAGTGAAACTATTTTGTTTTATATAATTGTTTTTTATGTAATAAAAGTTTTATATAATAGTTTTATGTAATTGTTAGGAAAAATTATTTCTATGTGACGCAATTAATTTCTAAATTGTTATTCAAGTGGTAAATATGCTAGTGGTGCTATGTTTGTTTACTGCTAATAAAACTTATTATATTACCTATTTTTTTATCATCATGATTGCGTTCAAATGCGCAATTTTTAATGAATTTCCTATTTTAAACATCATGAAATCTAGTTTTTATTTTTTCCATGAAAAAGATTTGTTTTTTTGTTTTTTGAAATGATTCTAGTTTTATGGAGAGTAATTTTAATTGAGTTCTGGAATGAAGAGTTTTAGAAAAAATAATTTACACTTGTTTTCCATGTTCAAGAATTTGATTCTTTTTTTTTTTTTTTTGCATATTTCGCGGTACTGATTCCTTAATATGAAGTAATTGGATGTTTTATCTTTCCAAATAGATTATAACTTTTGATTTTTAGTATTTACCTATCCTTTGAACCAACAATTCTAAATTGATTATGAATTTTTGACGCATAGTTAATATCTATATTATCAATAGAATATTGAAAGCTGAACTTATTGAAACTTAATTGCAGTTTTATTTATAACATGTCATTGTAATGGATGCATTAACTACTTGTCGGCTTTATTTGCTGACAAGTTCTAACATGAAAATACTCTCAACTTTTATTTTTATTTTTATTATTCTTCCCTTAATTTTTCTTAACTCCAGGTATGTTTTTCTTCGAATTGTCAATTCTTCAGTAATGTGTTTACCTAGAATTGTGTACTTTCTTCTTTCTTATTTACATTCGTTTTTTTTTTTTTTTTTTTTTTTACATTATTAAACATTGCATATTCTAAACTTTTATAAAATTTTATTTTTAGTGTTTTATGGATTGTTACACAGTGTTCAGCTTTAGCAGTTGGTTATTTTATAACAGCTTCGTTGATAAGGCGTTCTAATGGAGAATTTTTATGGAATTTTTTCGAAAATTGGCTTGAAGAAAAATTAGATACTAATGAAACTATTGTTAAAAATATGGGTGTAAAAAATAATTCTGAACAAATCCATAATTTACCTTGGAAAGGTTAGTCAACAAATGTTTAATTCACTTCTTCCTCCTTAATACTCTAGAAAGTTGAAATTACAAAAAAATCGATATCGGCATTTTTGTCAAAAAAAAATTTTTTTTTTTCACAAATATTTGAAAAGCAAATATTTTCGAAATAGAAGGATGAACCTTATTTCAGGTGTAACAATATCGGAATCGGTGGATAAACTGCTTGAAGAACTGATTGAACAGCTGATCGATAATTACATAAATAGATGGTACAAAACGAAAATAAGCGGTGATGCTGCATTTATCAATGAAATAAGGTAGCTTCAATAGGTTTTTTTTTTTTACATTATCATAATTATCAAAATTTTCTAGGTTGATATCATGCATGTGATGTAGTTTTGATTGTTCTTGTGTGACATAAAATTATTGAATAAATGACAATTATTAAAATTGTATCAAAATAAAATATCCAGCAATTTATTTTAGGTATCAGATTCGTTATGCCGTTGCTGTCTTGTATTTACGCTTTCAGAAAATTGATCTATCTTCAACAATTTTGTTTGAGGCTGTACCGCTGGCAGCACTACATTGTGTAAAAGTTGAACATTTAAGTGCAACTATTGACAAAAGTGTATGTTTTTTGTGTATTAAGAAATTTTCCACTTCTTTAATATAAGAAAGCTCTTGAGGACATCGTAGGGATTTTTAGTCACAATTTTTCCATTTGATCTAAAAATTGATTTAAATTCCATATTATTATTATTATTATTTCTGATTGTTTCCAATAATTTATAATTTTTACCTCATAATTTTGATCATCAAATTATGCAGATAATTTAGATGTATTCATCACAGCTGATTGAAACAAAAATCCTAGAAGCTATGCCGGATGTACATTTTGCTCTCAGTTCACGACAAAATGAAGTAGATTATCTACGCGAATTAGCTGATCACTTAATTGGACTTATAATGGATGAAAATTGCATTGCAGGACATTCCAATGATAGCGATTCACCTTCTCGTAACATTCTTGCTAATCATTCGGTATTACTTCCAGCTAGCTAGTTTCAATTTCTTATGATATTTTCCGTTAACTACTTTATAAATTATTATTTTATAACGAAGATTATTACCTTTAATAGGGAAGTGTAATTAATAATCTGTAAAAAGATATTATTTTTCATGGATGCTTCTAAGAAATGTAAAGTATAAAATAGTTTAACATATAAAGTAGTTTAAATATATAATGCGAACTACAGCTTTTTTTATGGAGTGTTTTCATAGGTTAGTTGGATAAATTTTAAAAAATTAGTCAAGTATTATTCAGATAAATTATGTGTTAACAATGCTTTAATTTCTTTTACTAATTCATTTTTAGCGTCCATGGGCAAGTCATATATGTCGTCATTTTTTGCGAGAACTGTTTGTTTTTTCATTTTTCTTACCTGTTATGGATTTGATAGCTGATCCAGATATCATTAATCGAGTACTGATATTTCTATTTAATTCAGATGTTCTCAACTTTCCTCAAATACCTCAGGTATGCATAACATTAGAATCCTCTAAGCAAATGTTTATATACTAATAACAGAGAAATGCGTATGATAGCCATTATGCTATGATTCTAAATATGATAAATTTGAAGGTCATGCATATAATACCTGAAAAGTACTTTTTTTAGGATAGCAGACAAGTTGAAATTTTACATGGACTTACAGATTACTCCTTAAACGACACTCCTGACTCATTGCTTCAACTAAAACTTAGTGATATGCTTCGAGATGCTGGACAATTGATGATGTTCAGAGCATATTTAGATGATATTCATGCACCTCTAAATGAGCTTGATTTTTTAGTTTATGCAGGTGATGCACATGGAAGAATGCTTAATGTTCAGGTAATTACTTTGAAATTATGCTTTTTTAAAATGTGAAGGTTGAAATGAAATTGTTCAGAAGCGTTACTAAGACAAAATTTCAAACAAAAATCAAAATATGATGAGTGTTGATGTAAGCTTTATTCGTATATATATAATTCACATTATCATAAAATTATATGGCTTTATCTGTGAATTCTTTTCTATATGAATTATTTCATAAATTAAATAAATTATATGGACAGTCAAAAGTTCAAGAAGTATTTTATGCTTATAAATCCATGAATTTAATTTGATTAATTATTGTGATGTTTACATTGAAAAGACTCATAATATAATAATCTTGCATTTTATTTGCAGAATGATCATGCTGCAATGAGTGAGCTGCAGTACGATATTTGGGAACTTTTTATTAAATATATTCACGAAGGTGCTCCAGATAGGGTTAATCTTCCTATTGAGATTAGCTGTGAATTTAGTAAAGCAGTAGAAAAGCATGATTCTGAGCTGCTTGATCAATGTCTAGAAAAGGTTTTAGTTTTTTTTTTTTTGTTATCTGAATTAAAATTTTTACTGCAAATGTATGAGAATTTTGAATATAATTTTAATTTTCTTGAAATTTATAATGTACTTTTGATATTTGATTAGTTTGTGAATTTCAGGCTTTTCAAATTATATACCAGCGAATGCAGCATGAATATGTGATACCGTTTTGTCAGTCAGAATGTTTTTTGGGTAATTTATGTGGTCCTCGTCCTGTGGGTATAGATGAATTAATTGCATCCAGAGAACATTCTAAATCAACTCATTGTCTTCTGCCAACTGTTGAACCTAACTGTTCTTTAACTCAGTTCAGGTAAATAAAAATTTTTAGCAATTATTCAAAAGCTGTATTTGTCTTTTGCTTCTATCCTTTGTTTTTGAATTTCTCAGTTGTGGTTCCTAATGTTGTGAATAGATGTTTGAGGAGAGTATAACTAAAGATGCTGAAATCAGCTTAACTTAGAAATTTTTGAAAGTTATCCATATGAAATAATTCTAGCTTGAATTTCTACTGTTTTATTTTGAAGAAATGGAAATAGTAATTTCATTCCAATATACAATAGTATTCGTTTCTATTAATACGTTTAATCAAAAAAAAAAAAAAATGAAATTCATAAGTTAGGCAATTGTTACCAGATTGTTGAACTGTGATAAATTTGGTATCCAATATAATTTAAGGCTAAATTAGGATTTTTGATTTTGGTGCGATTGTAAAAGCAGTCCTAAATAAGCTTTAAATAATGTCTGCCTTATAATATTTCGCCTTGCTGATGTTTTGATAACACCTAAACTTGTAACATGTAAATCATTCTGTACTTTGTGTCGAAGTTTCTAAGTTATCAAATTCAGAAATCGTTTTTGGCGAATGATTTTACCAACAAGTGGATCGATAGATTCATCATTTGATCATTTAAATGATATTGCATTAAACGAGGTAAATGGCGGGATTGTACCTACTGATGATATCACACAATGTTTGAGTTACGATTCACCAAGTGATGACACAGCTATGCCATCTTTTGAGGTAAGTATATCTGTTTTATTATCGCTTGTATTTTTCATATTCTACTGATATATTTTAAAATGTTAGAATTTCAGTTTGTCTTGAATAATGGAAAGATGAAAACTACCGAAGTGCAGGATGATCAGCTTATCTCAAATGTGGTATGTTTTCGGTGTTTATTTGATACTTGAAGCATGACATTTTCAATTTTTGGTGAGTTTAGTCATAATTCTCTCTAAGCAATTTTAGTCCGACGAAGAGTTTGTTGAGCAGCAGATGAATTCGAATAATTCATTTGAGATACCAATGTTTGATCCGGAACGTGATATGAGCAAATGGAATGTAACAATCCCATGTGTTGAACCACGACGAGATCCTGTTGGCGGTCTGTTTTTTTTTTTTTTTTTTTGATGTTTTAGTTGACATCTATGTAAAAAAAAAAAAAAAAAAAAAAACTTGTGTTAATCTTTGATAATTCAGATCAAGATATTTGTATAGATTAGTTCATATTTAGGTCATACAATGTACGTCTATGTCATTTCGGTTGAACGATTTGATTTAAACGATGACATTGATCAGACATCGTTATCAGCGACTGTAGCACCACAAAAAGTAAGTAATTTTTCTGCTAAACAAAATTAAACTATAAATTGTCTTTATTTTCAAATTTTGTTAAAATCATTTGAGCTTGTGAATACTTTACCGTTCAGGCTGTCAATATTTCTAGTGGTCTCTGATTCGCCACTACAATGAATTTTACATTCTGGAATCAAAACTGGTAGAATTTCATGGAAATACGATAAAAACGGAATCACTACCACCACGACGATTTTTCAATTGTAAAAGTCGTGTTTATGTGGAATCACGACGTGAAATTTTCGAACGTTTCATTCAATTACTCGCCAAACAGGTACCAACATTTTTTTTTATTCTTTTATATTAAATAATTGATAAGCGTATGCCTGGGTAGGAAAGCTTTAATTAATTTCTGTATAAATCTTTTAATTTGTTCGGTTAATGAATCACCTAACTAAAATCATTCAGTAACAGTACATATATATATATATATATATATATATATATATATATAAGATAAACATATTCAGTTGAATTAAATAAGTTTGTTTTTTTCAGCGAGCATTGAAACAATCAGATTTGCTCTTTGTTTTTCTTAGTACTGAGCAACGATTAAAAGATTCAACACAAATTTCCGACCTCTATCCATGGAATGTAAGTTATAATTCAAAAATAATATGAATTGTTTTGTAAGATTTATCTTTTTCTTCTAGATTATGATTTTTCTTCCTTCTACCATGATAATCTCAATGTTTTTTTCAGATGGTGAAAAAAATGCCAAGTAAATTTGCTCGTGAAAGAGGTCAGAATCTGAAACCATTTATTTTATCTCTACTAGCGACAACATTAGTTCCTCATCCGGATAATCCGACCGAATCGAGGTGTAAATTTTATAACTGTAAACTTTTATAAATTTTGCTAGAAATTATAAGTTCTTACGTGGTTATGTAACTTATAAAATTAAAATGTTTTATACGCAATATTACGTGCGTGCTTTTTTTTTCCTGCACAAGAAGTAGTCGATTAAAAAAATGGCTGAATAATTTTGGGATACTAAAAGTAATTAATATTAAATGTTACTTTTCAGCACTATCCCCATTAATTCAGCAACTGCATGTCAAAAACGAAAAATATTGCAAAGTGATATATATGGTAACAATTGTCCAAGTGCTCAGATAGATTTCTCTCTCACAGGAAGTACACTGTGGACAAAGTATTTTTTTTTTCAAGTATCAAATTCTGTTGTGGTATTTTTCTTTTCGATTATAAAATTTGTAATATAAATGTTTCGTTAATGCTTAGGTTTTGGCAAATTAATTTTAACTCTTAAGCTTTAATTAATTAGATGGTTGATTAATTAGAGATATCGTTTCAGGTTTATAATTTTCAAAAAAAGAAAGAGATAACGAGTTAATTTTAATTAAGACTGTGATTTGTTTGCAATCAATAAAGTACTCAATTTCTATGCAGAAATCTAACGTAAAAATTAAATTTTGCACTATATTTTGCTTTTTCGGAATTTTTAGAAGCTTTTGCGATGCCATACTTTTTATTTTGAATCGGTTGTTTGGTGTTATTCGATGGCCAATGTGGATTATTATTACTATTCGACATTTAATGGGTGATACTATTGATGCGGTAGCAGCTGTAGTATTTAGGCGATTTTTAAATCGAATATTTGTAGATGTTAATTGCATGCGTATGTTACGCTTCATTCAAGAATCAATTTTTGGTTGTAATAATTCAACAAAAACTGATCAGGTGATTAAAATTTTTATATTAATGAATTTTATGCTTTTTATTGCTTTTAGATTATTCCACTGGTAGTAATTTACGTTATTTTTTCCTCTAATTTTTGAACTTTCCACACATATTTTGAAATTTTCCATGAGTTGTTTTTTTTTCCACTAATGTGGACGTAATAATTTTTTTCATTAATTTCTCATTGTTCATTAACTTATAAAATTTAACCTTAATATTAAATGATTATATTATGCATTTTTAGGAAAAAATGCTACGTATGGAATTAGCGCAACGTTTGACATTAGAATACTTGCAAGAGCAACTTCCACTTTGTTTTATTAAATTAATTGGCCATAAGCAGTTTTGTCAAGGAATGCAGACGATTTTTCGCATCTTACAATATCCACGTTTAAATAAGCAACTGGCATATGTTTATCTTGATATAATCACGCAAAAATTATTTCCAGTTGAAGATGAACAAAATCTAGAAATTAAATAGTCATGCATTAAATAATTTTTTTTTTCTTTTTTTTTTTTTTTTTTTTTTTTACATACGAAGAAAATTACTCATTCGGTTGTGACAGTTGTTAATATTAATTTAATTTTGCTATTTATTGTTGCTAAAATTTAAATACACCTGAGTTTCTTAAATTTATACTTATTATAAGCACTTTAAATATGTTGCGACTTCTTCTATGCTAGTATTTGCCTTTGTTGTTTACGGTCATTTTCTCATATTTTCTATAGATAAGCAATATCTCAGTAATGTCACGATTAGAAAATTTCTCAGGAAATCAGTTAATTTAGTGTAATCTTCTATCTTGATTTTTATGATCAATTATTTGATGACAAATGATGTAATTTGAAATGTTTCATATGTCAGTTCATCATTATGCTATATATATTTTTAATTTATTTAAGTTTAATTACCTTTTTTTCTGTGAAGTTTTGTTGACTTTTTAATTACTTAATATTAGGCCTAGATTAAATTTAGAAAATGCATTTCATTTATCATTTGTTCAGAGGCTTTTTTCAAATTAGCTTATGTTTGTGATTTATTTTCAGTGTTTTTAGATATGTTGTTTTTTATTTAATTTATCTTTCATTTGATTTTACTATTATTAGTATTTTGAGCAGCTACTTATGATTTCGTGTAACAATCAAATTCATTGCGGTTAATTATTTTGAGAAGATCTCATTAGTTTCAATATATGTTATTATTGCTGAATTAGTTTGAGTTTTTATTCAATTCTTATCCCCTAGTGATTTCAAATTTGTTTTTTGATGTTTTTTTTTTTTTTTTTTCAAAATTTTAATCAATCCACTGTCTTAACAATTAATTTCTTTACGGTTATTACAGTTGCTACAGATGTAAGTATTTTCATTTTGCCTATTTGTATAACAAATACTTGAAATAATTGCCTTTCTTTCTAACAATTGTTAACCTTTTCCGAAAAAAATTTTAAAAAAAAAAAGTGTCGATGTAATTTTGTTGTTGCGTACTTTGAAATCATTTTAATGATTTGAAATATTTGTATATATTGAAATTATTTTGACAATTTTAACTTTCATTTCTTGTCTGTAGATTATTTTAAGTATTAAGAATTTAATTTTAGTTATAAACCAGTGAGACAAATAATTTATCAGAATATTGATTGGAGATAAAAAGTATAATGTTAGCTTGATAATCTCATTTACCCTAATCTAATGAAGTATTTGATGTTTAGTCGAAGTATAATTTGTTATAATTTATATAGCAGTTAAATTTTAATACAAAAAAAAGTAATAATGCACAGTATATTTATGTTATAACAAATTCGATGATTCAGAATTTATTTCTTCAAAGGGTTTCTTTTTTCCTGTTTTAATTTAAATAAATTTTGCTACAAGTTTATTTTCAGAAATATTAAAGGAATGCAAATCTATGATTGTTTCCAGCATTTACCATATGCATTCGAGCAAGTTGCAACAGTGTTTTGGCATCGATATCCAAATACAGCTGCAAAGCATGTTATAAGTGAAGATTTCATCGATGTTACGGTTAGTTAAGACAGTTTAAATATTTCGAACTATTTTAACAAAACTGCTAACAATATCAGATGGTTCTATGTTTGTTACATTTTACTAATTTATCTTTTCCTTATTGCATATAATCATCATTGACATTCATTTATTTTATATGTCACATTTTCCTAATATGTTTACGAATATGTATTAAACATGGTGCATGAATTATTTGAGTAAAGCCTAATGCTTTTATTTAAAACATTTTTCTTAATTCTTGTCTTAAAATACATTGTTGATGTATCTATTTTATGAAATGCAAGTTAAAAAGAAAAAAAAAAAGAAAAAAAACGAGATTTTGGCATAAAAATTGCATTGCATATATATATTTACTTTTACATGTAAATGGGAATTGTTTCATCTATCGAATAGTTTCATATTTTAACAGATTTTAGATAGACGGTGATCAAATCAGGACGAAAAAATTGATATTGAAACAAACAGGAACATTCTTGAAAGCAGTTCCAAGATGGATGTCGCGTTTGACTAATGTTAGGGTATGGTAAATTAATCTCTTCATATTAGATTCCATGAAAATTTTTAAATTAATTTTTAAAATAATTTTTTGCTAAATCAGATTTTGAATTCGAAAGTGTAATGGTTTGGAAATGAATCAATAAAAGCAAAATTTTGATGCATCCAAAAATCTTCTTTAAATCGATCTTTACAGGTAGTTCCTACAGTTGAGGAAAGTATATTCGATCGGAGTAAAAGATCTTTAGTGACTTACACGAGAAATATTACATTGTTATCCACCTGTAAAATTCATGAACGTTGTGTTTATAAACCGGTATTTCTTTTATCTTATTTTCTCTTAGCTTTTTTTTTAAATTTATTTTTTCATATTACTTAATTATAGCCATGTGTGTTTGCTGTGCTGACATTTTTTAATATATTTGAATTTATCTGGACTTCATTTTCATTTTTTTTCTCCTTACTCCCTAATATTTCCTGGAATGCACTGAGTTTTGAAATTAGCCAAGAAGCATCTGGAAGTGTGTGACTTTTCGAACGCTTGTGTAAAAATAGTCACAGAAAGTTTAATGCTTATTGATTAGGAATGAATGATATTAATATTTATGGAATAGCTTATATCGAACAATTCAATCATTAGTTTTAATTAAAGAATCTTTGAAAATATTCACCAATAGGGTTTCAAAAATGGTATACCGGAAACGATTGTGGAACGTGGTGGCTTAGTGTCAACATCATTTGGAAAGTTAAATTCAGTAATTGAGCGGATTTTAATGGCAAATTTCAAAAAGAATATGAGAAAAACAGCAGTTGTTTATATGGAAAAGTTGACAAAAAAGTTGCTTTTCATGTTTTTTTTTTTTTTTTTTTTATTGGTCTTGGGAATGATTATATTATTTTTAATTGATTTTGTTCTAAACATACCGAATTTAGGTTTTCTTGAATACTCAGTTTTGTACATCTTCGTGATGTAAGAGTAATGTAATAAAACTTTTGGTATTAAATTTCTTAATATTACACATTCAAATTAAGGCAAAAATAAAATTATTTCATTTTATAGATTTGGTGAACCAGCATTGGTCAACCACAGAACGAATGAGCCATATCTTATGAGACAAAAGATTAGTCGTCGTAACTTTTCTACACAAGACTAATTTGTGTGATAGTGTTTCTTCTTTCATAATATCATCCCTTCATTACCACTTATGAATATCATATGTATCATCACCTCAGATTTAATCTATATTTGTATATTTTATTTAAATTTTGTTATATTTATTGTTGTTTCCTTTTTTTCCTAGTTTTTCATCACTTTTTTTTTTTGGTTTTTAAAATGTTTTTTTTCAAGTTTTTCAACTTTTTTGCTATCAAAAATGATGTCATATCATGATTTGGCTGTACAGTTTTTGTTTTTTTTTTTTTTTTTTTTTTTTTTTTATTGAATGTACAGATTGTTTTTCATTTTATATTTTTTTACGTTAAAGAAAACAAAAACTTTTGCCAGATAAAAAATTTACATTGCTATGCAGTGACAATTGTTGCATTTTGTTTTGTTTTTCAATTTGAAATACTTTTTAAATTTCGCTTTCTTGGAAATGTACATCGTGTTATTAGCAGAACTTTTTTTTTTCCTATAAACTATTTTTGCAAGACATTTTTATTAATTTAAATTAGTTATTTCCAATTAATAAAGTACAGTGTAAGTATCTGGTGAATATTTTTTATTTTTCTCATATTATTAGTTATTCGTTTACGAAATTTGATCCAATTAACATTGTAAATATTTTATGTCAATAAGTTTTATTCTGTAAAATTCTTTAAGGTATATATATATTAAGCACTACAAATCTTTCAATGCGAATTATTCCACGAATGATAATTTGAAGTTCAGTATTTTGATCTTTTCTCTGAAACACTATCCTGCATCATCGGGTAAGTCTCACATTTCGGGATTTTTATTTTTTGCAGTAGCAAATTGATTTTATAAAATTTAACGTTTCTTATTGCTATAATTGATGGAAAATTTGAATTGCATTCAAGGAGAAGTGTAAAAGACTGAAGGATAATCATTTCGATGAATCCAACGAGTTTATCAATATTTCGCGGAGTTTGTTTAGTTGGTCTCATCTCACTTCTACATTGTGCCTATTCAGCTGCACAGGTTTCTTATTTTTTGCATTATTCAAACATAATTTGTTAAACTATGTACATATTGAAACATAATTTATTAATTTACAAAGTAGTTTTTGTGATTATATATATATTTTTTCAATATATTAAGTAAGTAAAATACTACTCATTGAAATTTTGTTGTAATTTGAGGTAAATTCAGTCTTTTAGAGTTAGTAGCTATTCTACTTTCTTCTAAAAGTTTTCGTAAAAGGGGAACAAATTTGAAGTTAAAATTTAAAATAAACTTAATCTAGTAGTGATAGATTAAGAATTGGTTGTGTTTATAAAACTTTTTGCAGCATCGTTTTTATTTACGACTAACGGAACAACCATTCACGCAACTACCTCTTGATATTATCGTACAAACAATTGTGAGCTTAATTGCTTTCCTTTATAGTGCTACCTGTATTGCTGGAGAATTTCAACCAGTTCGTTCTGATTTACAGGTTTATCATTGCTATTATTAAATTCATCTTGGTGATTTATGCATATTGTTCATTTATTGGCATTTTTTTTTTTTGAAAAATCTTGAAGATTTTATTTTTTGCTTTGAATATATAACGAGTAGTTCTTGCTTTCCTTCAAAAAAAAAAGCAGGCCACAACATAGAGCATTAAATGATAACATCATTAGTGATTTGGAATAAGTAAATTGTTAAAACTAAAATTTGGGACTTAGTAAGGGTTTTTTTTAAAGAATTTAAATGAGATAAAATTGATTTTAATATTTTTGGTAAACTTATTTTTAATTGGATTCTTGTGGTTATCATATGATTTTAAATAATTACATAATTTTGATTTTTTACAATGACTAAATTTTATGTTTTTTTTATGTTTATTTTCCAAATTTTTAATACTTAATGATTCTAGAATCGTACAAAATCTTGGGACACAGTTGGAAACTGTCCGTCATTTTATACGTTTGATCATCGTGCCAGAACTCTTTCACCATCATACAGCGATTCATGCCAGCAATACTTCGATTCTTCACCGGTTTTTTTTTTTTTGGATGCTTCATTTCATTTTAAAAACTTTTTTTCATTGTCTTAAATGTGTATTTTTCAACTCTTTTATTTTCTTTAAAGTTTCATTTTGAAATTTATAAATGGGATTACGGAGATTTTCAAATGTTTGTATCAGAAATCTGTGAAAATATACAGAAAATACAAGTAGTTTGCAGCAGATTTTTCTACTGTTATTTTTTTTTCTTTGCTTTTATAAATTCACAAATTTTGAATAATGTTATTGTGAGATATAAAAGTATTTGCAATTCTGTTTTTCTTTTTCTTTCTTTTTTTTTTTTTTTTTTTTGCATTGTATTTTTTGAGAGATAGTTAAATGGTAAGCTGTAATCTGGAATATTGAAAACATAAGATAGTTTTATTTCTTAGTAAATTACGTCCTTCATCCCAACAGTAAGTAGGACTTTGAATAGAAAAAAATATCAGTTCCATTATATTTATTATTATTTGATTTATGATTTATGGTCTTTTATACGAAATTTGTTTAACTCTTCAATTGTAGTGCCCGTCCTCATCAACTGTTCAAGATGGCGAACTTTTTCGTTGCGACTATTAATTGTTAAATATTCAACATTGTTCCCTTCATTTTTCTCAATCTTCTCATATATGCCTCCTCAGGTATGTTAATAGAGTTTGCTAATTTCTCGAATAAGCAAGAAAGAGATTTTTTAAATAAAAAAATTTTATTATAGGAATCATATTTCTAGTTTTCTCCTGGATTATGTTTTATGGATAGTTATTTAGATAAGAATTACTTCATCCGAGCAAAAAAAGATATCATTTTCAACCGCTCTATGTAGAACTATTGGAAATGATTTATCCCAAAAGTCTTCAATAAAAAACAAAAATCCATCGCAACGAAATCCTCAGTTAAAACCTCCTTCCAAAAAGGTAATAACTTTTTTTATTAGTGCCATTCTGGTACCAATAAAATACTCTAAATTTTTTTTTTCTGCAGAAAAAAATTGTTTGAACGAGCAAATATTGTTAGATCTTGGGAATAAGTAATAAATAGTTTTTACCTACTATCCTTTTTACGTTAATGCAAATTTTTAGTACCAATTAAATTTATGATATTCCAATTAAGTTCGCAGCACTTATCTCAAATGATCTATGTTGCAATGTTTTTAAGACCATTTCTGAATCAGATTAGCATGGGAAGAACGAATCACTGATTCAGCTAAAATACTCAGCTAATTAAAGTATTCATTTTGTGTTTCCAGGCAATAAACGAAGCCCTTCATCAATGTTTACAAATAACTCGTGAGCGAGATTATACAAATTATGTTGCTGGTTTAGTAATGCCATCGGAAATTCAACCTGCTTTGTTTACCGTAAGCTACTTTTGTTTTCAATATTTTAATTTCGTCGTCTTTTTTATAAGTTTTGAAGTTTTATTTCCAGCTATTGGCTTTTAATGTAGAATTAGCCATTGTTCGAGATCAAGTTGTTCGTAATTCGGGAGTTTCCGGAATATATCGTTTGCAGTTCTGGAAAGATGCATTAGATGTTTTATATGGTCAAGCAAAAGGACCACTACCTCGGTAATTTTTCTTTTTTTTTTTTGGAGCTTCAAATTCTATTATATACTTTTAGGGTTTAGTTTTTTTTTTTTTTTTTTTCTCTAATAATTTCTGATACGATAATCAGATAAATTTTCAGGCAACCGGTTGCGATAGCTTTAAGTCTTTTTGGACATCATTTTGATGAACATTTACTGAGAAATTTAATTACTGCTCGGCAAAGAACATTGGGTGATCGTCCGTTTGAGTCTCTTAACGATGTCAAAAAATATGGCATCGAAACGACAGGCTCCGTAACTCAGTTGATAATGCATCTACTTTCCGGTTCTCATGATGCTAATGAGATACCGCTTTCTGAAGAAGCAATTCAAGCAGTCGAATCAATGTCACATGCTATTTCAATTATTACTTTAATCAGGTACATAATTTAGTGGGAATTTTTGTTTTATTTTTATTTTTAATTCTTCAGCTTCATTTTTTTTTTTCTTTTTTTGCAACCTTCCAGATATTTTTTATAAATTTTACTTTAATTCATAACAGATCGACCATGCCGTTATTGTCAAGAGGGATCTTTTTACTTCCCAATGATCTAATGGAGAAATATCAGTTAAATGCAGATGACATATTGGGGAATAAAAAGCAAAATGCAATACGTGATTTAGTCAAGGAGCTTACTAATGTTAGTATTTTGAATTTTCATTAAATTTCATGAGTTAGTCTTTTGTTGATGTATTTTTTGTATTCATTACGAAAGAAAAGAAGAAAAAATATTTTATGTTAATACTTTATGTAACATTTTCTTGGAATAGCTTTTGAATTATTGCAAATAACGATTTACCTCTTATACTTAAAAACTTTTTTAAAGATGGTGCTAAGTCATCTTGAAAAATTTACCATCAATTAATTGGCTAATTCATCATTTCTATCAAAATATCTTTTAACCTTTTAAAATTTAAAGATAGCAGAGGAAGAACTTCTGAAAAGTCGACAATATCGTAAAAGCATCAAACCAAATTTACGACTAGCACTTATGGCAAGTGGTGTAACGTTGGATCATTTAGTGAAAACGCTTCATGAAAGCAACTATAATTTGCTGAATACACGACTTCAACGTGGATACGATCTTCTCGCATGGCGTTTTTGGTGGCGCAAATTTCTTGGTCATTACTGACAGTACGATTGAGATTGTGAGGATTATGACTTCATGCATTATAGATGGATATTGCTTGAGCTCAATTTCATAACTTCATTTTCTTTTTACTTTTCAAAATTTTCGTTATATCGTTTATTTTGATTAGTCACTCACTACTGTTGGATATTTTCCTTCTGTGCTATATTTTTATTGTTGTAATTCATTTTTCATGTTTGAGCTTCTTTAAATTTACTTTAAGGAAGCCCGAATATTTTCAAAAATTCATATCTTATTCTAATTTTAATTAAAAGGAAAAAAAGAAAGCTGCTAGCAGATGATTTATTTTGCATTTCTTATCATAAACTATAGTTGTTTTCATTATTTTATCAAATCATAAAATTTGAATATTCAATAAGTAAATTTGATATAAAATTTAAATATTCAATAGGCGTTTGCAATACTGCATCAATCTGAAAAAATTAAATATTCAATAGGTAAATTTGTCTGACATATCAAAATGGAAGACATTGATATCATAAAGTTCAATATCAATTTAACAATAAGGTAAACTGAAAATAATTATTGAATATTTAAGATGAACAGTGCTTATCAAGGATGTTTGGCTTTCTTTATAACTGTTTCGTATTATAAACATTTGGTATTTCTTTATGATGAATTATCCTAGTCCACTTTTTCTTTCTCATTCTTGGAAATTTTATTGTGAAGTTTCAGTATTAATAGTGCTAGAATTTAAGTAAGACTAAAAAGATGGAAAGGATCAAAATGATCTTCTAAGAAGTGAAAATTTTGGTAATAATAAAATTTACAATTTCAAATTATTTCTATCAGTTGGAAAATGATAATTCGAGTGTGTAATTTTTTGATTATATTTTTTCACAAATAACTTTTATAAGCAAAGTTTAAAAATTTCCCTTAGAAAAGAAAAAAAAAAAAAAAAAAAAAAAAAGGCGGTAGCTAGTATATATATTATTTACATTATTATGTACGTTGACATTCGTGTCATTAAATTAGTATTGATAAAGATATTTCAGTGAAGTTTAAATTTTATAAATTTTTGTTACATTATAAAATTTATATGATTAACTATTACTTCCCCATCTAATGAATATTATTTTGCAATGAAAGTTTTGTCTTTTTATTTCCGGTGCTTTATTTATTTGTCAAAAATTGCAAGCAAATAATAACAATAAGTCATATGAAATGCACTCATTTCAAAATTGCAATAAATCATATGATTGCTATCAATAATGAACAATTCTTGTGATTCTTTTGTTGATGTAATTTTTGAAGTCAAAATTCTTTCATTTCTAATATTTTTTTTTCGTCCATTTTTTCAAAAATTAAAATCGAAATTTTACAAAAAAAAAAAAAAAAAAAAAAAACAAAAATTAGGACTAAAAAAGAAACTTTTAGCAATTATTTAAATTAAAATTTTACTGTTTAATGGAATGTCCTGTGATAAACTTTTATGAAGCATGCAATTCTAATTTTTTTCTTCAACACTTTTAATTTTAATTAGATCATGAAATAAAATTGATTGGAATGAATTTACAATGAAATATTACAATAGGATATGATTATGGAAATTTCAAGGAAATCAAAAAAAAAAAAAAAAAAAATGCAATTGCATTATGATGATATACTGTAATGAATTAATTTAAATTATTAATAATAAAATAAAAAGTTCAAAACTATTCCAGCAAGTTTACTTTAGAATTAACAATGTGGCAAATCGTATAAACAGGTACTTAATTATATATTGTTTGTACAAAACTATACTTTTGAATAAACAAATAATTCTTTGAATAATTATTTTCATTTGCTGAAGAAAAAAAAAAAAGAATTACAAATATTAAAATGAATTTTGCAGAAATCACTTTTTTTAGCAATTAAAATTGTTTACAAAAAGTAATATTCAATTAAATAAACAAACATGTATTTCCATTATTTTTTTACAAAAATTAAAATTTTGAGAGAAAATGAGAGATAAAATAAGAACGAGAGAAAATTAATAATAATTTCAACTTAACTCACTGAAATTTATTTGCTAAAATAGCATTTTATAAGCTTTTCATTTTTTTTTTTTTTTAATTTTTTCTATTTTCTCTTATTCTTGAAATTTTATAATATTACTATTGATAATTAAAATTAATATTTACTTATAAAACCAAGAAAAAGAGTAGGCAAGGATTTTTTTTTTTATTATATGGTACATTTTAAATTAACATATAAAAACTAAAAAAAAAAGTAAATAAAATTTTTTATTTTCTAATATATGATAGTTAAATTATTATAAGTAAAGTTAATTTGTCATTTTTCTTTCTTATTTACAAAACAAAACAAAAGGACGAAAGTATTTAAAATATTTAAAAATGTTTGTAGCATAAAATATTCTAGGAAAATTTATAAAATGCAATTTTGAAGATACCCATCATTTAGGTTAGAAATGATGGGTATAAGCATTGAATAACTTTGTCCAATCTTTTTTTTTTTTTAATCGTCTTTTATTATTTTCACACGAATATCTTATCAATATGCTAGTAATATTAACTTTATATTTAATATGCACTGATTTTTTTTTTTTTATCCTAATTTTCAAATCCATGTGAAGGGTAAATAAAAATCTATGAAAGGGTAAAATTTACGGGTAAAATTTACTAATGACTATATTGCATTATTAGGCAAGCAAATAAATTTTATTCAAAATTTCAAATATTTATAACTTAGATGCATATTACTTCAATAGAATGAAAAAATTTCATAAAGCAATCAATGATAAAATTCCTAAACAAAATTAGCATTAATTTTGATTTTTTTTTTTTAAAAATATATGATAAAATTCCCAAACGATTTTCTTTCTTTTGTTTTTTCTGAATAAAAATAATTTATTTATCTTTTTTTTTTTTTTGTTTATTTCAAACACTGCTAATAATTACAATTGCATAAATTAAATCAAAATTATATACATTACAAAATTGTTAAACAGGAAAAAAAGAGAAATTATCATCAAAATTTCATCAATATTTTTTGTTGTATTAATTAATAAATATTAATTTAATGAAATCAAAACTTCATTAAAATTTCTTGTTTTATTAATTAACAAATATTATCGATTAGTTTATACAATAATTAATTAATAAATTTTCAAAATTGAAAATGTATGAGAATTTTCATTCATCACAATAATATTAGTGACTCAGTTACATTGTAATATGATAATTTTACATTTTAAAATTTAATTACGAGAGGAAAAAATTTTATTTATAAAATTTCGAGAATTTTATCAATTATAAAAGGCTTAAATTTGAAAGAAGAAAAAGTTGCAATATAATTTAATTATTATACATTAATTTGCATACTTATAAAACTCTTACTTTTCATATAAAAAAACAAATTTAAGAAATATTTATTATGGTTATATAATGCAAATAATTATTACATATACTTTATTTATAACATCAATAATTACATGAAATGAAATAATTGTAAAATTTTCAACATTTCAACAAATTTAAAAGATTACAAAAAAAACAGCAAATAATTAAGCAAAGTATAAAAGAAAATGCAAGGCAATTAAAATGTTAAAGTTTACATTTTTATTTACACTAAAAAAAATATATTAAAATGCTTCAACAGTTTATTTAATTTCAATCTAAAAAGAAAAAAGCACCGATAATATTAACTAATATATGAGATATCATTAATGAGGTAAATTTTGAGGTATAAAATTTTTTTCTTACTTTTTTTTTTAAATAAAATTTTTTTAAAAAATAAAAAACATTTGTTGTAAGAATGTTTTTTTCTTTTTCCAACAGAAATTTATTATAGTAAATATAATATTCAAATTTTAACTTTTATTATACTTTAATATAATTAATCTGTCATATTTTATTTTACTTTATTCTATATTAGCTTCATTTTTTACTTATACTTATTCATTCAAATCTTTTCCTATTTTTTATTTGATAATTTTCATTTATAGCTTACAGCTTATTTTGTTATTTAATAAGAATTAATTAGAATGAAATTTTCGAATTAATTATTTTACTAATATTTGATGATTTAACATTCCAAATTTACATCACTGATAATCTGATCTTCTGATAATGTTTGAGTAGCAACTGTTGTTACCATTCGCTGTATAATACCATTATCAATTAATAATCTATGCGGTGATGTCACAGTACTTTTGCGCACTGAATAAGTTGGAATAGCACCACGACTATATATATTTGCAAGAGCATTACGAAGCTAAAAGAAAAAAAAAAAGTTGTTTTGATAATATTTAAAAAAAAAAAATAATTTTATAGCACAAATAATTTAAATTTTTATTTTTTGGAAAGAATTTTCTTTTTTTTTCTTTGTTCTAGAAAACTTTCAAAATTTTTAATTCTTTCAAAAAATGGCATAAAATTAAAAAAAAAAAAAAAAGAAGAAAGAAAAAGGAGAACAAACTTCTTTGATTGAAATTACACCCATAAGCTTTCCACGATTTGTAATATAAGCATGATTAAGACCAAGTAATGAGAATAATGTATGCACCTGAAATAATGAGATAACGAAAACTTTGAAAATCGTTATTATCGTAATTTTAAATGATTTCAAATTGAAATTAATAAATTGCAGGTATTAAATAATCAAATACTACATTAGATACATATATCAAATGTCTTTTTTTTTTTTAAAAGAAGCTGAAGTTTCGTTAATTTTTCATTAAATTTAGCAACTATTTACTTATATTGTTATAAAAAATTGCTATAAAAAGAAACTTACTAAAATTAAAGTATTTGATTATTTAATATATTTAATTATCTAATAATATTTTATTATCTAATATCTAATATAATATTTGATTATTTAATACCTAAAAGAAAAAAGTGAAAATTTAAAAAAGTAATTCATTGATGTTTACTTACTCGATATAATGATGTACCAAGGACAAGTTGAAATGGCGCTGGATCGATTGCAATTTCATCCAAATTAATAGGATGCTGCAAAATATAGGCACGTTGACGGAC